TGATATTTATGTGTGTAGGTGTGTACATATACAATATACACTTTTTATCGTAAATTTGCAATTAAATAAATTATTCTAAAAAAAAACAGCAATTAAATATAAATAAAATTGCAAAAATTAGAACAAATTCAATTCATATTAGCAAATAGGAATTCTAACAATTTAGCGAATTATAAATTTTTTCCTATCTAAAAGTTATCATGTAAGAAATGCGTTTTTCTTACAGTCGCAATTGTGTGCTGAAGTCGCGGAGAAGAACAGTAGAGAAAAATCAGTTCATCAAAAAAGAACAATTAAACTAACTGGCAATTCTGGAATAGTATTATTCAGTGAACAATAATATTGTTTAATGAGTGATAGTATTGTTCAACAAAACGCTGCGAGATAGAAGGAAACAGAACAATTCTCAGGAAAAACAGAAAATCCGAATGAAACTTACAATGCCTCGATCGATCTTCCGCGTGGCCTTTTAACAACAAACAGCCCTAGGAAAACAGCTCTGCACCATTCGTTCATATTATCTGCGTTATTCGCATTTTATCCTTCTTACTGCTTTCCGCATCTAAGATAAATGGATATAGCTATGCTAAAATCTGTGTGACCAACCAGAAACCCGAATAACCTTACATTGTTTGTTTGACGAAAAGTAAACACGTAATATTATTTCTTTTTAAATTCGATTCAATTTTATTACATATTAAAACCCCGAGTAAAACCCCTACAAATGAATAAAAAGGTGAATAATTGTACGTAGCCCGATCTCGGATTTATTCACCTATCACACATTCATTTCATATAAACTGAAAATACCTATGTTGCAAGTCGCAACATTCACGAAACAGAATGGCTTGATGTTTACGATTAAATGCATTTACCTCGACGCGTATCACATCACAAGTAGCTTGGACATTATGCCAGCTGCCGCACTGCGTGCATGCTTGTATGCGGTATGGCTGTCTTCACGTGTCATGAATGAAACAACCGCGCGCGCTCTTGTAATTACTTCATTTTTCGCGTAGTCGATTAAATTCTATGGTCAAGTAATTTTATATTTTAAAAACATAAAAAGATAAATTTATTGTCGCATTTGCCTTTTGCGTTTCTAAATAAACTTTATAATTTCAGAAATACGCCGAAGGGAGATTGTCAAGTTAACTTTTCTTAGGTATCCGAAAGATAGGTATCCGAAAGTTCGCTATCTATTAGGAAAGCTGACTACTAGACCGCACGTGACGCCCGAGATAATGACGATAAGTAAGCGCTCGTGAGATTTTATGGTTTATTTAGTGCTTGCGGGAGTCGAGCACAGCGGGACATATCGAAAGCCGCACATGTAGGCGTTCAAGTCCATTCAGTCAATGACGAACGTGTACGTCAATCGCTGAACCGTGTCCCAGTCACAGGATAAATGGTTGTGCATGTTAATATGATTTTGTCACGAACAGGCATCGCGACTGCGAAAGGGATCTCGATTCTCGGGGTGATCGACCGCGGTCTTGGCCGATGTACAAGTAGAATACCGCATGCACAGTCCAGAAGTAGCCGAACCTCTGATAACGCTTGCCAAATTTAACTCAGCGTATTTTGGCACCCAAAATAATCCTCTTAATAAAATTAATAAATAGAGATTCTCAACTATTCGTGTAACAGATGTTTGCATACGTCTTATTATCATTCTGACAGTTATTTACGACAAGACTTTTTAGTCTTTTCTCGATTTTACGGGCGATATTATGCGAGATGTACGAAGCGATTACATTGGCTTTATAAGCTCTTTCTAGAATTCTAGAAGAGCTTATAAAGCCAATAATGTAATCGCTTCGTACACGTTCGTGAAATTTAGAAGGACGCAAGTCTGGAGAGACGACGTGTTCTCTTATGGATTAAGTAATTTAGAGCAACTTCTCATAATTACGTAACTCGCTGGTGCAAATTGAGGCATAACTTCGCATACTTAATTGTAGCTCTAATCTATTCTAATCTAATCTAAGTCGCTCTCGCACAATTTCGAGTTGTGGACGGGAGAACGGCTTGTAAATTAGCGCGTATAAATTTCATTATATGAGCGACACAATATTAATTATTCGCGCGATGGTTCCAGTTGACAAATTGCGACTCGAATTTTGTATCTGTGCAACAACGATTTATTCTCTAATCGAAATACATATCTAACATATATATCTGATATCGCGTAAAGCAGAGACATATTTATGTGTATGCGTGTTAACGTTGCGATACGAAAAGTATAATATATTTCGCGCTGTTATAATAAATGGTATATACCATTTATTAACCCACATTATAATAACGATTTAATGAAAATTACCTCGTTACGAACGATAATACATATATAGAATTAGCGTAGAATTTTAATCAAATATTTAATCAGCCTATAATTCATATAAAATACATATTGCTCTTTCTGCTGAAATTTAACGAGCGATAGATCGCGGTTGAAAATTTACGATAGTTCGAGTTTGTCCGATGAAGTGTCCACGTTTTTACCAGTAGCACAACGTGTAGTACAACTGCTCACACGCGATCACGCGAGAGTTAGCCAAACGAAACGGATACCGTGACAGAGGCCGCCGCACTCCATCATTATTCACATTACATTAAACATTTATTATGTTTAACATTACAATTACCTCGAAGTTCGTTCGCTTCTGGGATTCGATGTAACATGTAAATGCATCACTTGATCACATCGGATACCAGAATCGCGGCCGCGCATTATATTAAATAAAATGATAGGTAGGTAAAATCTAGATAGGTAGTTATTAAATCTTCCGCTTTGATACAATCTTTTTGCTCAAGTTTGCTTATTCCTTATTCAGTTTGCATATTATAACTATATATATCCAGTTCAGTTTATGAAAAAATCAAGAAGAAAGCATATAAATTATACTTAACTTATTATTGTAACTTTTTCATTAATAATATAGCTAGATAATTAATAAGTGTTTGTATAAAGGTATTAATTTACTTCTAATAAATTGTCATTTATAACAATTTTAAATAATTTCAGTTTTCTGTATAATGCATTATCTAAAATATTATTTTATTTATAAATATAATAATGTCACACAATCTCTAAGATCCGTAATTACGATCGTGTCAATTTTGCCGAACAATTCAGTTAAAATCCGTTTTGAAACTTAATATAGCTTATTAAATAGATTTTGCGATCTGGCTTATATCTTATACGTACTTATCTCTTGTTATATCTCATTTGCAATCGCGATTGAGACTCAGATACAGTGTCTCGTAATAACTCCATTCTTATTTATTGGTAATTCAACTTTATATCATTCGAAAGAAAGTATTTAATAATGTAAAATCTATAAAAAACTATCTCATCGCGCATTATAATCTCAAAGTATTCCAAAACAGTCATATGTATAGTACTTTAATCGGCGTCAGATATCACGGGAGTATATTATCATATTGCATTTCACAATCAACTGAACAAATTCTCGGTTAATCTTTCATCAAGATGTGACTATCGGACTACTGTCTGTAGGTAAGTATCTCAAGATAAAGCTTCATTCTAAATACCTTATCCAATATACTTTATAATGCAAGATTAAAAAAAGTATGAATAATATAATGACTACAAAACTGGAGCTAAAAGTCAAAGAGGATAGAAAATTCAAATTGATTCATGGGTCGCGATGTAATGTATCGACAAATAAAAGCATTCGAAGGGATGAACATCGAGGGATGAAAACAATCGATTTTTTTCTCCCTACGCTACAGACTCCGTGATATTATTCCACGCGTTCCGCGTGGAAGCTGATACCGTAATGCGAGCATGCGGCCGACATATGTCGCTTGGGATTTAAAGTACAACGAAGCTTATTTTCATGTAAATAAGAACACATGTAGGAGCGTGTTAGAAGAATATTCTTTTAAAAAAAGAAACTCATTCAGTTAATAGTACGCGAAAGCGCAATGTAATAATGCATATAATTAATGTTGAGCGCAGTCTGTTATTTTGAATGAGATATCGCAATAATAAATTATTCATTTTTCTTTTCAAATCTACACTGTTTCATGTTAAAAGTAAAACGATAAAGCTGAATAAGCGTTGCAAAAATCATTTCTGTTTACGAAGGTACGATGCAAAAACTGTAACAAGTTTATGTAACTGTGTTCGCTCAGTGCATGATACGTTTAAACACATGTTAAAAAATCTGGGGGATGAAAATCCCAGAAGCGTAAATACAGAATGCTTTTAGAAATTACATGCAAGCCGCAAGAGAAATTTAGCGAAAATATACAACATACGTATGTTTTAACATCACGATGTGTGCATAATTAACGTTTTATCTCGTAAATAAGCTTATATTTTTTCGTCTCTTTACCAGATTCGATTAGAATATTACACAGATTTCAGATATGCCGAAAAGAGTTTATAAAATATACATGTATATTTGAAAAATTGTATAAGGAAAATTTTAAATGGAACACATATTCGAAGGACAGATAACGGGAGCTTTCCAGCAAGCGACCCAAGTCGACACAAGTGTCGTTTCGTCTTCGTTCGTCATTGCCAACAAAGAAAGATAGAACGACGTTTGTGTCGACTGCGTCGCTTGCTGGAAAGCTCCGATCTCTCTCCGCGTCGTTAAAAAATTCGAATTCGAATATTACGTCACGTGACTCGTGACGTAGGTAATTGGGAAGCAGCGTTTTAGTATATCGCGCTATATCAAAATTTCGCGTTTTCATTGCGACGTTCTTACAGAAAACTGCTGTTCTCTGTTATACGTGCGTTTTAGGAGATAAAAATGTAAAGCAGCAGACACTTGGACGCGCAAAACGCAAGCGATCTGATCGCATTCTGGAGCAGCAAGCGGCGCGGCGTTCGTGCACTTCGTGCACCACTTCAGAGACGGACGGTTACTCCGACGACTGACGACATATATCGTTCGATCGTCATCGCCGAGCCGAAATTTCACATAGCCGCGATCAGCTGACAGCGAGCGATATCTTACCTTGGTGTCCCTGGACGTGTGGTAATAGTAAACAAAGGCGAACATCCACGCGCATGACAGGAGCAACGCGATCTTGACATTCCGCCGCATGACTGCTCCCCCGGCTCGCACTTATTTCGCGTCTCACGCTTCCCCGCCGCCCGGCCGATGCCCGATGGCGCGTCTTCTGGCCGCAGACCGCGAGACTCGTCCTCCTCTCTTTCACGAAACGGAGCACGCACACCCGCGAACGAGAACGCGGTGCGAGGCCACGGGAACACCACTAATGCACGCGTACCGGCAGCCGAAGCCATACTGCCGCGGCCGACCAAACGCCGCGAATATAACACTCGACGCCCTCAACGGCGGGTTCCACGCTCGGCCGTCGCCATCTGTTAGTGGCGCGCCGAACTCGATTACGCCCACGTACTAAAAGGGCGCCAGATTTCGGAGTACTTGATGGTCGAGTCAGTCGAGTGAATTGGAAGAAACAATAGAAATTAATTTCCGATCTTGTTCCAAGACCCGAATGTGTTTTTTTCTGGGTGTATTTCGAACCGAGTTAGCTCGGCTTATTTTTGTTTCTGGATATTGGCATAGTTATTTAACTAAAAACTAAACCAAGAAGTGTTCCGTACTCGTCATAAATGTAAATACTGTGTTATATCATTATATAGCGTTTGTAAAAATGAAATAGAAGAAACGTCGAACATTTTACACTTAGAAATCAAAGACCGCAATAATTAAGTTACACATTTCTTAACAAAAGACAATTTTGCTTGTCAGCTGCAAGCATGCAAGCTGCCGATGTTCGCAGGTTATGACAAGTTAGGAACACGTGGCTGTCAACAATGTCAACATCTAAAGACAAAAATAAGCCGAGTTAACTCGGCTCGGAATACACCCTTCTGATATCTTTTCAGACGAAAAAAGAACATGCTTTTAAACAAAAGAATAATTGTTAACATAACGTTAAAACGTACGTAATTGGATAATTAAAAAAGTTTGAAGTCAATATACAAATTTCAAAGAAGAAGAGATAAAAATTAACTGTAGAAGTTTTTATTCAAGACATATATGTATATTAGTTGATAAATTTATGCGTATTTGTTATTTGTTAAGCAAGTATGCTTAGAATAGTTTTCTGATATAGTAGAAAAACAAGAATAAAAGAAAGAGAAAAAAATAAAAATTTTAATTTTATTCTATAACGTCTAAATAAACGGCGCACCATTAATAATCTCTTAAATATTATTGAATCTCTTGAAAGATAAATTAATTATAAATATCTTGAGATAAAAAATTATTTTATTAATATATTATTCAGATAATAATATTTAATATGGAAACATGCATATTATTGAATTAATGATGTTAATTGTATTAATTACAATAGGCAAATAAATGTATTTAAGCAATAAGTTTCTATTTCAGCTGTAATATAAAACCAAATGGGAACTTTAATACATCAGGATTATTTAGTAAAATTGTCTAATCAACATCTTTTAAGATATTACATTCTTTGAAATAATATATATGAATGATTATGAACAACTTGAGTGATTAATACGCATGCTGAAAATTTAATAAAAAAGAATAATTTCCAATAAAGACTGGGAGCCAAAACCCCCCATGACCGTTGCGGGGTCCTTTAGACAAATACATACTCTGTTACATGGTAAACAATAAATAATTTTATATATCATAAATGTTCATTGAATGCCACAAAACTTTTTATATTGTATCTCTCTTTTCAGTATGTGTAATTTATAACGGCTGTAAACCGATACTGGGTGGATTTCGATAAATCTCTCAAATACGCCCATCCAGAGATGCAGACGCCCGCAATGCCGATCTCACGGATCAGTCTGTCACGACCTGTCTTTTCGATGAAAGTTCCGCGCGAATCCGACAAGGTATAACAGAATAATATTTGGTTTACTGAATTTCAAACTGCTGTTGGCATGGCTTTTGCATCGAAGTGGTTCCTGTTATTATACCTCGGTTTATGCGCGGCATGGATGGACGAGAGGTATGTTCCTTAATAAAAATATGATGAACATTGTCCGCGTCCAATATCATATTTACATTTATATAATGTTATAATATCAAGCAAAATTGAAAAAAACTGTCATACATTTGCATGATATCTCGATGATCGATGACGATAGTGTCTTAAGATTAAGTGATTAGTTAACAGAAACGCATGATTCATAAAAATTATGACTCAAAATAATATAATTGAATAATAGTATTTAACATTAAATTTTCTTAACGTTCCATAAATTTTCCACAATTGTAGATAGACTCATATATAAATAATTTGTATAAAATTTAGACCTGTTTTGGAGTCTCGAGATGGACATCTCATAATCTCTAGTGCGAAGGACAGAAACATTACGCTGAAGCTAATGGGGGGCGGTTACATAAACGTTAATGACATCAATCTGCTTCACGTAGCGTCGGCGGTAATGAATAAATATTTATACGTCCAGCATAATTTAGACACAATTAGTCAAACGCTTAGATCTCGATATTTTTTAGGCGCAAAATGCGACGCGGGTCATCGACAGGTGGCGGATGGGATATTTAGCCGAGATGGAGAACTCTCTTTACCAACTAACGACTATAGTGACAGGCGCTACAGGCTTACAGAGAAGAGTCTCTCTGCTTGAGAGAAGTATCGACATGAACAGTACGATTCGCGCAGGAAACAGATCACGTATACCGGTAAGAATGCGCAATATTGAATCAACACAGCTTGCGATGACATATTTTTCTATATCCCCGTATCAAATTATACCAGTACGCCAATAAAAAAAAAGCGTAAGAATTATTTCATATAGAAGAAAATAAGAAAGAGATTGTATAATAGTAATGCAAAAATATATTTTAATAATTTTTACAATATTAAATCATTCAATATTAATTTATTTCTTACCGCAGTTTATAATTTAGCATTTTAACCAGCGATGAAAGTTATATGAATCGTGTTGCGTCAGAATGAAAAAAAAAAAAATTAAATATGAAGTTAAATGTATGAAGCTTTATTCATTAAATAATATATTTTCAGACTTTTAATCCAATAGCGGGTATAACCAGAAGCACTATTCGTCGTATCAACGCCCGAGTATGTATAATACGCGAATCTATATAATGAATGGCATATACGAATAATGGCCTGTATGGTGAAATTAAAAATATGTAAATGTATTTTTAAGCTTAAGGCATTAGAGGACTCAGTGAGAGCTATGCAAGCACTACTTCGAGAGAACGAATGTCAGAGTCACCCTTGTCAAAATGGAGGTACTTGTGAGGACCTCTATGATGCCTATCAATGTCATTGTCCATCAAATTGGGAGGTATGCGGATGTAATTTGAAAGGAGTGGTATTTCGTGGAAATAATTACGATAATTTTAGGGCCCGAATTGTATGACGGACGTTAACGAGTGCGCTAGATTTCTTGGTACGGATCTTGGATGTCAAAACGGAGCAACTTGTCGTAATTCTCCTGGATCTTACCGGTATATTAACACAATTCTTATTATATCAAATAACAAAACCAGGCATTTTGTTTGATTACGGATCCTTTAACGAATTTGCAGTCGACTCAGAAATCACAAGTCTTCTTTTTAAGAAAAATGAAAAAAAACCACAATTTTAAATTCAATTTAGGAAGCTATAAAAGATTTTTCAAAGAAATAATTTGAATAACTTTAAATTATATTCTAAAATTCTATTATTTTCAATAATTTTACTGAGTTTCGCAATAAGTGGCTTTTATGTAATTTCTCGGATATACTGTGCGGAATATGTCTGTACACAATAATATTGGTTCGGATATTAGATGCGACTGCTTGCCGGGATGGTTTGGTCTTCATTGTACGCAGAAAACATCGATTTGCAATACAGAGAATTCCGAAGCGCTTTGCGGCGAGCACGGTGTATGCGTCGCCAAAAGCGGTTCTGCACTTGGATATACGTGCATTTGTGATCAAGTACGCTCTTTGGTTTATTTAATTTTTTTATCTTAAACTCTTCTTCAAACTATATCAAGCTAATTGTAAATCAACTAAAACTATATCAAGGCTAAACTATATCAAGCTATACCAAGCTAAATCAACTTATATACAAACTGCTGCTTGCAAAAACGCTGATTTTTCTTTTATCGTTCTTAGGGATGGGAAAGCGATGGCACAACCCCAGCTTGCACCAAGGATGTAGATGAATGTGCAGCGGCCCATCCACCCTGCTCCGTAAATCCACCGGTACCATGTCTCAATACTCGCGGCTCATTTACTTGCGGTGCTTGTCCGCACGGCTATAGCGGAAATGGTTATTATTGCACCGACATTGACGAGTGTCTTATTAACAACGGCGGCTGCAGTACTTCCCCTTATGTACAATGCATGAACACAATGGTAAATATACTACATAATGTTATGAAGTAAAATTACGACTGTGTCTGAAAAAACATCAAAACGGTCTTAAAAAGATGTCTGTTATGTTTACGTCATAAAAAGTACGCCTATTTTTAAGATAAATATAGAATAGATGAAATATAACCGAATAGATCAACAATTGTTACAATTCACTGCAACCGTAACTTATCTCATTCCAATGACTTCTTTAAGGGTTCTAGAACGTGTGGAGCTTGTCCCTCAGGGTACCGCGGCGATGGCGTGAGTTGCATTTTTGTTGGTGGTTGCGCCATCAACAACGGCGGATGCCATCCATTAGCTACCTGTACCGAGAATCCATCGCTTACAAGTTCTTACGTTCTGTGCCGTTGCCCACCGGATTACGTCGGTAATGGAATGGGACCAAACGGCTGCCAATTATCTGATGTATCACTTAATACAGCGTGTTCTAGCAACCTCTGCGTTCATGGCACATGCGTGCCATACGGTGCAAATGACTACACTTGCACATGTAACCCGGGATACTCAGGTATGTGTTGGGGATGAAAATGAGAGGTAGGGGGAAATAGATTCTCATGAATCAACTCGTGTAAATCATAACGCTCTGCTTCTCACGCGTGACGAATAACAACATGTGGTATTAATTCGTGCTTGACGAATGCACAATAATATAAATTATAAAGTTTAAATTTATGCAAAAAATGATTGTGTGACTCTCATGGAATTCTTCACTTATTTATTAAGAATTAAAGGTAGTAAGAATTACGCGTCTAATATATTTATATAACTGCGTCTACATGCTTTTTATTAATTTTTAGGAGCTACGTGCAACATACCGACTGATCCGTGCTCGCCAAATCCTTGCCGAAATAACGGTATTTGCATTGTCTTAAGCGGACGGGCAACATGTCAGTGTACGACTAGCTTCACAGGAAACAGGTGCGAAACGCCACGGCAAGCGTGCGGCGGTATGTTACGGAATCCCACGGGAACAGTTCAGTTTCCCATAGGCGGTAGTACTTACCAGCATGGATTGAGTTGCGCCTGGGTGTTAAAAACGGACTCCTCTAAAGTTCTGAACGTCACCTTTACGGCTTTTAATATCGAGCAGTCTACAGATTGCAAGTTTGATTTTCTACAGGTGCGATTAATATTGCATATTAAAACAGGAAATTAAAAAAAATATTTACCGTTGTTTTTTTTTTTTTTAATTAAAGTTACTATATGTTTGCAGTAGAACTGTAAGTTATTTTAAAATTTGTCTGCGTTGAATGCTTGGACTCTTAATCTCTTGCTTCAAAAACTTGTATGCTTTTTTATTTATGTTAAAGACTTTGTAGAAGTTTTTAATGCTATTTAAATTTCTATATTCTTAAATCTTAGAATATAAAGAATTTTAATATAAACAATGATAGAGATGAGAAAAAATTATACTTCATAACGCACATATGTACTTTTAGATCCATGATGGTGAAAACACTGGCACTCAATTGATTAACCGATTCTGTGGTCATGAATTGCCTAACGGAAACGGGACAATCATCTCATCCCATAATACTCTCTACTTGTGGTTCCATTCGGACAACAGCATATCTCATGATGGATTTACCTTTCATTGGAATAGCATCGATCCTGTTTGTGGAGGTGTTTTAGAAAATAATTTCGGTACCATCATGTCTCCAGGTTCGCCTGGAAAATATCCTCCGAACAGAGATTGTTTCTGGAGAATCACTGTCGCTGCCTCGAAAAGGATTCAATTCCATTTTGGTCAGCTGATGCTCGAGCAAAATTGCCAAAACGACTATGTGGAGGTAAGTACTTCATGGGTCAATTATAATGCTATATAAAGAATTTATATATTATACATATTTTTTTGTTACAAAATTTAAAGATACATTGTTATAGAAAATATATTAAATTTATTAAATTTATTAAAGTTATTAAATTTTCTAAATCATGAAATAATTACCTATGTTTAGTACTTGTTATCAATTTTGACTCGACATTATATTGTAGATTACTGGTATAGAAGAAAAACGTTTAGGACTTTTTTGCAATCACACTCGTCCACCACCTTTGATTACACCGAGTTCTGAAGCAACTGTTCATTTTCATTCTGATAGTTCTAAGCAAGATGCTGGCTTCCAAATCCATTACTCGACGATTGAAGGTATTATTAAGAGACAGCTAATCTATACAAAATTTAAGTGTAGTTACATTATTTATATATTTATTTAGAAGAAATAATTTTATAATTTTATAATTTTGGATATCCGGTTTAAATAATTCACAATATTTAGGTTCACCTGGTTGTGGTGGAATTTATACCAGTGCCACTGGACTAATCAGTTCACCAGGTCATTCGGCGGCTTATCTGCCAAATATGGAATGTGAATGGAAGATACAATTGCCAGTAGGCGAACGAATTCGAGCGTCATGGCTGAAATTTAATATCGAAACTTCCTCCAGTTGTCAGTTTGACTTTGTCGAGGTGATCTTTTTGTTTTTATTTTTCTAACGTTTCATAGAAAGAAAGGAAATTTTAATCTTTATACTTCTTCAGATTTATGATGGACCTGACACGAATTCTCAATTACTCGGTAGATACTGCGGTTCGGATATGCCGCCAGCAATCAAGTCAAATTCGAACAAATTAGTTGTACTTTTTAAATCCGATTGGTCTTACGAATCGGAAGGTTTCACATTGTCGTATGAAACTTTATGCGGCGGCGAATTCCATGAGGATACCGGAATTATCAAGTCGCCCTTTTATCCGAACCCTTATCATCATTCGACAACGTGTATTTATGAGATTATACAACCGTCCGGCAAAGGAATCATATTAACTATGGAAGATATGGACATTGAAGGCAGAGACCAGAACTGTTACTACGATTACGTCGAGATTTTCGACGGTGATAATGAAAATGCGACGAATCTCGCCAAATTATGCGGCGACGAAGAAAACATGCCAGATACTCCTTACTATTCCACGCATAATTTTATGTACATAAAGTTTACCACCGATAACAGCATCGATGGTCGAGGTTTCAAAGCGAACTACACAACCATCGATCGTAGTAAGTAATTTGCTGCGCTTTATATTATATAAATCTAAGGTTTGATATTATAGTTTTGAATGCGACAGAGTTTATTCTGCGTACAAAGTAATTAAATTTTTGCGTAAAAATAGAGTTTTGAAAATAACAAAGCATTGATATTATTATTCTTATTAAGGATGTGGTGGATTGCTGAAGCAACCAAGCGGGGTAATTCAGCCTCCTCTTGAAAACGGATTTTATGTGGATAACGAGGAATGTATCTGGACTATTCAAGCACCGCCAGGATATGTAATACAACTCACTTGGATGTCATTTAATTTGGAATACCATGTTCATTGTGTCCACGATTACGTCAACATTTACGAAAACTATACCTTGTCCGACAAAAACATAATAGCCACGTATGATGACGTTACTAATCTCTTTTAATTTGAGCGGTTTAAATAAGAAGATAATACATTCAAGTTATCAAAAAGACATTAATTATATTATTGTTGTAATTCATACTGCAATTATTTCAACTTAACTTTTCTTTATTTACCAGCTTTTGTTTAAATATATTATGACTATACTTTTTAGGTATTGCGGTACAACTAAACCACCTGACTTAACGACACAGGATAGTACACTAACCATACTCTTCCACACTGATTCGAGTGTTACAAGCGATGGATTCGTTGCTACATATATTTTCATGGATATGTCGAAGGTCTGCGGCGGTCATTATTCGAAAGAAAATGGCATTATTAAATCGCCAAATTATCCCGATCATTATCCAAACAAGAAGGAATGCGTTTGGATTATCGAAGCACAAAACAGACATAGAATAATTCTTACGGTTAATCACTTTGAATTGGAAAGACATGCATCTTGCGTATTCGATTACTTAGAAATTAGGTAATGGACTTGAATTTTATCTTATTACTTTTTCAATTTGCTATTTTATATTTTTCATATTTCAGGAATGGTGGATACGAGTCCTCGCCGTTAATTGGCAAATTCTGTGGCAAAGACATACCCACTGAAATACCGAGTCAAGCCAATCAAATGTATATTAGATTTGTTTCGGATTTTTCGAGATCATGGCCAGGTTTCGAAATACAATGGAATAGCGCCACAGAAGGTAAAAACATACAGAAAATCCTGATTCTGTTTTATTACCTTTTCTTTCAACTCTTACCTATATTTATATGTATATTTAACTTTACAGGATGTGGTAGTACACTGACCACAGTTACTGGGGATATTATATCTCCAAATTATCCTGAACCTTATTCAGCGAACGCGGATTGCTATTGGAAGATCGCTGTGGCGGCGGGTAGTTTAGTGCAACTTGTAATAGTGGATCTCGATCTTGAACAACATGAGAAATGTCGATATGACTTTATCGAAATATATGACGGCATTAGTTATCGCACAAATGGAAGACGTTATTGCGGTACCTCGTATCCGAAGATTATTCAATCCGAATCCAATCAAATGACCGTTCGGTTCCGCAGCGACTTCAGTAATTCCGGCCGCGGTTTCCATTTGAAATACGAAACGCGTAAGTATATACGTGTTATTAACTCAAAATACTATTTAATTATAATTTATTAATATTATCTTAGAAAATTATAAATTAAAATTATTTTAAAAAATGCGTTATATGTGAGTCAGTAGAGATCTTTTTGGTTTTGAATATTTCCTTATTAATTAATAATATATGGAGGGGTAAAAACCACAGTGGTGTAAGTCAAATTTTTAAAAATATTTTTTTTGTGTGCATAAATGTAATTTATATATTGTATAGATTGCATCTATGCACGCGAGAAAATATTTAAAAAAATTTGACTTACACCACTATGACTTTTACCCTTCCATATATTCTTTCTTTTAAATTACAAATTTTTTCGGTCATTTTTTATGAGAATAAGTGTTTATTTTTTAATTTTTTATTTAATTACTTATTGTGGAATTATTTTACTATAAAATTTATATTTTTATGATGCAGAGTGTTATTTAACTGATGATTCAACTGAACGACACAAATTACATGGCTACTACGGCGTGATAGAATCACCGAATTTCCCTAACAAATATGAGCACTCAACAAACTGCAGTTGGATCATCGAAGCACCAATTGGTAACACGATTAATCTGACTTTCTCACACTTTGATCTCGAAGGAACAACAGAGCAGTGCACATATGACTATCTCCAAATCATGGAAGGCGACGATGATAAGGCCAACAACAACCTGACTCGACTCTGTGGGAGTATCGATCTCCCAAAGAAAATTAATTCAATGCAACATCAAGTGTTTATAACGTTTGTTACGGACTCCTTTATTGCCTTCAATGGTTTCCGGCTCGAATGGACGGTCCATGGTTGTGGCGGGCATTTGACTAAACCGTATGATACTTTCACGTCGCCTGGATATCCGTCAGCTTATCCGACGAATGTTGAGTGCGAATGGCTGATCGAAGTGGATTATACGCACAGTGTCGAGCTTACATTTTACGACGTGAGTATATCTAAAAAAAAGTATACGCAACAATTATACGGAAGTTAATACGAAAGCGATGCTAACAGAAACTTGCGCTATTGTGATGTAAAAATGGAAACTGTTGTCTTTCAGATAAACACTGAGAAGCGCAAAGGTTGTATCTTCGACAAAGTCCAAATTTATAAAGGCGACAAACCCGTGAATGAGTCAAAATTGACCGAGCTTTGCTACACGGAGAAGCCAGTGACATACACTAGTCCCGGACACAAAATGTTCGTCAAATTTCACTCGGACTCATCGTACTCTAATCGAGGATTTAATGCTAGCTATAGGAGCGTTCCTATTGGATGCGGTGGTAAATTTACAGCAATCTCGGGCATCATTCACTCGGCTAATTATCCACAGAATTATCCGCACGTTCAGAATTGCGAATGGCTGCTAGAAGTCGACAGCAATCATCTCGTGAATCTTACGTTCTTGGACTTTGATGTTGAGAACAGCTGGAATTGCAGTGATGATTTCGTTGAGGTATGCTATAATTTTTTAAACAAACCATTCATAAAAATATATAATTCTGGGTATTTTTTAAATTAATTCTAATAACAAATATTAACAATCTTGTTTTGTATTTTCGTAGATCTTTGATGGCCCAACGAAAAATAACTCGTTATTGGGAATACATTGCAGCAATCAATTACCACCGATCTATCTTTCGAGTAGTAATCAAATGCTAGTAGTTATGCAGAGCGATAGTATAATTTCAGCCAAAGGTTTCAAAGCTCAATATAGTAGAGCCTGCGGTGCTCGTATAATTGTTAAGGACCACGGTTTTCTTACACCTCCGGTTGGCAATTCCGACACACATGGGGACACTAATTGTACATGGATATTAATAGCTGAAGATCCAGGTAATCCAACTTTGTCTCACATTTTTAAATTTTTAACAATTGCTTTACTTTTCTATTCTTTATTCCAGCCGACCATATAACTATTACTTTTACGCATATGGAGATTGATCCAATTGATGTTACGAACCGATGGGAGTCTACTGAGTTAAGTCCTTGTTTTTGGCTCTCCCTTCAGGTATTCGAGGGTGAAAGCATAGATGGACCACTTTTAGGAAAATGGTGCAACAATGTTGCGCCACCGCCGATTACGAGTACCGGAAGTTCGCTCACGCTGCATTTAGCCATACACTACGAATTCATAGGTCACTTCGTTGCTACGTACTCCGTACTGAATACAGGTGCATTAAATTTAAATATATTTATATGAAAATAGCCTAATCGTAGAAGATAATTAAAGGAAGTTCTTAATTTTATCTCTATTCTTCAGCTTGCGGTGGAAATTATACATCCGAACAAGGAATAATCACCTCGCCTAGTTATCCGAATAGTTATCCCCTGAACGCAGAATGCGTTTGGATACTAAATACTTCTCCCGGTAACAAGATTACTCTCGTATTCTCTGAGTTCGATATCGAGTCGAGTGATAACTGCGATCTGGACTATCTTGAGATACGGGAGGATAACGGAATCGGAAAGCTTATTAGTGTTTCTTGCGGCAAAGATGCCGCGGAAATTACGTCCTCCAACAAACTGTGGATCAAGTTTAAGAGCGATGGTTCCGGTACTGCCAAGGGTTTTAAGGCTGAATATAATATCCTCGGAGGGAACGAACTCGATGGGTTTACAGGACGCATTACCTCGCCGTTGTATCCATTACCGTATAGGCGAAGTGCTTCGTTCTCATGGCGCATTACTGTTGAAATGAATTCGCTCATACGCATCACATTCACAGATTTGCAGATAGAAAACATCGGCGAACATTGTTTCTCTAATATCAAAGTAAGTATCTTTATTGGGGATGTAAATAGCAAGCACATTTTAAAAGAAATAAATATAATAATATACTCAATAACATAAATATATTTTACTTAACATATATGTAATTAATATTATTTAATATTTATGCCTAATATCTTTGCAATCAACGAAGTCAAAACGTTTGTGTATTATTTTAACTATTAAGCAATTTTATTCATTTTTAATTAGATATATGATGGATATGATAACGAAGCAGCAACTTTACTAGAAGTATGCGGCTATTCTTTGCCAGATCCAGTAGAGTCATCCAGCAATGTGGTTTACATCATGATGTCAACGGATTTTGTCAGGCAGGGAAATTGGTTTGATCTCACATGGCTTCAAATACCAAAAAACACTGAACAGGGAAATAAGGAAATCAAATGTAAATTTCTATTATATATACTTAATATTTCGTTGTTACTACAAATAAGTACATTTAAATAAAGCATTTTTTAATGATTAACTTTATGTCAATACAAGAGCTAATTTTGACGCCATGCCAATATATCTTATTTCGAATTAAACAATGTTTCTCTATAACATAAATGTGTGATAATATATATCAAATATAGTGAACACATAAGTAAGTCAAGTTAACATAAAATATATATATATATGTGCTTATAGTAATTTCAATTTATTTTATTTGTCTGTAGTGTCAGAGTGCAACAAAGAAATAGCTTTAATGGGTGACCGCAACAACACGTATTCCTTCAGTTCTCCTGGTTGGCCGACCGGCTATGCTGCCAATTTGCATTGCAATTGGGTTTTCACATCGCCACCTGGAACACATTTAGTATTGAGAATAATGACCATGGATTTGGAAGAAACTAATAATTGCGTAGCGGATTCAGTTTCCGTTTATTCGGGATACGCATTGACATCGACAACCGATGCTCATCTGGAAAGTAAATTATGCCTGGCAAACGCCAGTATGTCCTTAGTCAGCGGGACCAATGTGATGACGGTGAAATTCGACACGGATATGTCCGTTAATAAAACCGGATTCAACGCCTACGTATATCGAGGTTGCAGATGCCTTATTTTTATTTTTATTAATAAAATCAAATTTTGATAAAAATATCCGTAAACTCAATAATGGGAATTTATAACTTTGATTTATAGAGTGCGGAGGTCAATTAACTGATCCCAACGGCGTAATTGAATATGATAATTCTTCTTATGTGAAAGCGATTCGCACATGGCATTTCACATGTGAGTGGACTGTAACAGTGAGACCCGGCAAATTTATCAAAGTTGAGATTACCGATATGTCGATACAAGAAATGCCCGATCATACATGCGGCGACAATTACTTGATGGTTAGTATAATACATTATATTATTAGACTTTAGAATTAATATAATTATAAATAAGAAACATCTAAGAGAAAGAAAGAGAGAAAAAGAATTTAATATTTAAGAAAATAATTTACATACATATAACTTTAGTTAAAAAATGGAGACGGAATGCTCTCGCCTCTGTTAGGCAACGGAAAGTATTGTGGTGAAGTAATACCAGCGGAACTAGAAACCACCGGAAATCGTTTTTATGTTAAAGCTACTGGCAGCGGAAATCATTTTCGCTTTAAGCTTACTTACAGGTGATCTTTACATAATATTTTTCACGTTAATAAAACATTATTTTACTAAAATGTTTATTTCAATTTTTGATTAATCTCATATCTTTCCATATTTTAGAGAAACAAGTATGAATTGTGGTGGCGAATTTGTCTTGACAAGCAAGCAGAAGAAATGGGAGATAACATCGCCCAACTATCCAAACATCCCTCCAACTTATGCCGAATGTATTTGGAAAGCTAGTGCTCCAGCTGGTGAAAAGCTCACTATCCATTTCTTGGATAGATTTGATTTGAGTAATTCCGAGAAGTGAGATATGATTATTGCAGAAAAATGAAGCAAATTTTTAGAAAATATTTTAAATACTTTGATTTACTGAAGATAATGTTTCTAACGTAACAATACCTTTTTAGTTGCGACAGAGAATACGTTGAAGTAAGGGATGGTGGAACCGACAGCTCGCAACTTATGGGAAAATTCTGTAAAGACGTAGCACCCAGTAGTATGAGTACTATTGGCAACATGGTATATATCCATTTCTATACGGATGTACCAGAACCTAAGAATGGTTTCAAAGCTGTAATTGTTTCAGGAGGTAAGCATTAAATAAATGTATTTTATAAGTTTAATCGTATTTTATTATAATATTAAAACAGTTACAAATAATTCTCTTTTAAATTAAACAACATAAAGATGTTTACTATATGACATCTTTATATTAAAAATAGAAAAAGTGATAAAATTATATAACTGTATAATGTTTCTATAGAGGTTTGTGGCGGAATTTTGCGCACTACCACAGGCGTCATTGAATCTCCGAATTATCCGAATCCATATCCTCAAAACCAAAGCTGCTCGTGGTTAATAGTAGCGCCGACAGATCATACCTTGAAATTACAATTTCGTGACATAAATCTTCCTGGCTTTCGAGGATGCTCAACCGATCACGTTAACATTGGAGAAAAACTTATAGAAAATGACACTAGTAAGTAATCACTGTAACGGCTCATTATATAAATTCTGATTTAAGCTTTTTTATTATCATAACATAATTCATAATATAATGAATAAAAACATTTTTCAATAGTTTCAATAATTGGTACTTATTGCGGTCTTCAAAAACCGGATGTAATCGAGACATCGACAAACAAAGCGTATGTGAACTTCGAGAGTGATAACAGAGACTTTGTCACTTACCACGGCTTCAGTCTAAACTTTACCGCTAGTCAAGAAAGTTAGTAAAACAAACCGTGTTTAAATATATAGTATGTCTTATTGCACATTATAAATTTCATTTTATATGTTATTTGTACAATTTCAAATTTTATATAAATATTTATCATCATATATTATTTGCTTGTAGCGTGCGGTGGTTCATTAAACGCACTGAATGGAATAATTAAATCACCCGGATATCCTAATCCACGGACAAGAGCAAGGTACATTTTTGTTAGAAAACAAAACTCTTATCTTTTAAGCAATTAGTCGAATATTTTATTTGTTGAATGTTGTGTGTGTGTTAAATAAAAAAAAATAATAATATATTTAATATAACGTTATTAATTGTGATGAATAACTTTTTGATGAATAACAAAATTATACATATGACTAATTATTTAAATTAATGTGCATACATCTTTTATACATTTAAAATTGGAGCGATATTTGCGTAATCTTCATCTAAATATTAAAACATCATAGATATTGCGATTGGCGAATCGAGTTACCGGTGGGTTATCAAGTTGTGGTGAATATTTTGGATATAGACGTTGTTAGTGGGCCTGGACCTACTCATGTGGGGTATGCACTTTCGGTGAGTAATATAACTTCAATGAGATATAAAAAATATTATTTTGGCGAAAGGACACACGCTAAAATTTTTCTTCTTTGCAGTTCTATAACGATTTCCGCTTTAAATCGAAAATCAAAGTCTTAGGACAAGGCGCTACTAGTATGGAGGAGATAAGAAGTTCCAGTAATACTATGATTATTGGCTATTGGTCCTCTGCCGGACATCGGGGTTTCAAACTTCGATACACGGCTGAGGCTCCGGCTCGTAAGTTTCGAAAACTGCTATTGATAATAATGAATCTATCGTGTATTTTATAACAGTACATTAAAAATTTTTTTTTATATTATATTCAATGTATATAACTAAACATACGCAAAACGTAAAAGAAACTTTAACCATCTACTAATTTCTTTCGATTCATAGCTTGTGGTGAAACTCTGAGAGAAGTTCAAGGCAATATAACAGGTCCTACAATTCCGCCTTTTAATCAATCTTCATATGTTTGCCACTGGAAATTGCTACCACCCGAAAATATGATCTCTCCCGTCGGGGACAGCCGCTTGACAATGACAATGAAAGTCACTGGTCTTTTGGGCGGACCTGAGCGAACCAGTATTATTAGAAGAAATTGCATCTATCCTCAATATATTGAAGTTCAGGGTAAAATAATAAACACTAATGTAATTTTTTATTCTCGCTTATTAATAGCAACTATTAAAAGCAATGCATAAAAATTAAATAATATTGTATCATGAGTAAAGATATTAATGTAAAATATTGCGTAGATATTGGAATGTTATGTGGAAATATAACAGAACCGAGATATTTGAGAAGCCCGAAATTACTCAACGAATTAACGGTAATATATCTTTAATACTCATCTTGTCGTTTATACATATAACAGTTTCAAGAATTTTTACGTAAACGTAAATTAAAATTATTTGCATCTAGTATTAAGTGTGAAATAAAACAATTTTAATGTTTTAACTTTTAGATAATGAACGGAACTTATGGAAGACGTATGGATTTCACTTTACAATATCAATGGCAGGCTTGTGGTGGTATATTACGAGGTCCAAGACACACCATCAGATCACCTACAAACATTTCTTATCCGATAAACTGTGTTTGGCACGTAGATTATCCTGAAGAAGAAACGATCAAGCTCACTTTTACCAAACTTGAACTTGAAAGTAACTGTGACAGGAATTATCTCATTATCAGGTAAGCTATTTCATATTATCTATCAAATAATCTTTGATTTAATCTACATATATCATGTAATTGATTTAATCTACATATATTTACAATCAGGAATGGCGGACCAACGGCACCGCAGATCGCAAAGCACTGCATCCATACCACAACTGAACTTGAAAAATACAATATTAACAGTATATCGAATCAGCTATGGGTAGAATATTTTGCGTCTGAGGGTTCTGGCAGTTTCGAATTTGATGTAGTAATTGCCACCGCAGGCTGCGGTGGATCCTTACACGGTCGCAGCCGCGAAATCGCATCTCCGGCGTAATTGCTATTTTCTTAAGATAACAGAGATTGTGATAACAGAGATTCTAGCAGTTTTTAAGAAATAATATTTAATAATATTTCCGCAATTTCAGATTTCCTAAACAGTATCCAAATAACGGCGAGTGTACTTGGGAAATAATAGGTGACAATGGCTATCACATAGGTTTAATCTTCGTCGATCGGTTTAGCCTGGAAACCAGTTCTAATTGCGAGAAAGATTATGTGCAGGTCTGATTATTATTATACGACAAACATTTAACATTTATTAACATTACTCTAATTTTCTCAGCTGTTTTGCGATTTATTGTATTTGCTGTTACAATAAATAACATTCTCGAAACGACATGTTGCATAAAAAAACGCAAAGAACATTATAAATTACACAAATGGTATTAAAGAACGCATTGTACAGGTATTTGATTGGGTCAGAGAACAAGGAAATTATGACAATGGCGAATGGAAGAGTCTCGGAAAAGTTTGCGGCAGGAATACGCCTACGCCTTTTAATTCGACAACGAATCGCATGAAGGTGATTTTTCATTCGAACGAGGCAGTACAAGCGGACGGTTTCCATGCTGTCTGGAGCGAGAATTGCGGAGGTGTATTTCAGGCGACCGAGAAAGTTAACGTCATCCAATCGCCGTCGTATCCAAATCTCTATCCAAACAGCATTTTCTGTAACTATACTATCGTTGCGCCAAACGACGATATTGTCATCGAGTTCACTGACTTCCAGCTTGAGCGCGGTAAGTGTCAACGTCAATGTCAACAATCACTGCTACCTCTTTAGATCCCGTAAAAGCGAACATTTTCAGTACATTATATACAAGCGTAATGCCTAATGCCAGATTTTTTATGAAACTACGATAATGTTTGCAACACATAGATAAATCTTATTATCTCTAAACTCTAAACTAAAGTATATAAAGAAACAATAAAATTTACGAAGTTAAAAGAAATAATTTTAACAGGTCGCGGAGGAGATTGTCGTTTTGACAACGTCACTGTCATATCGGAAAGTATGTACTTTACAGAGGATGTGGAAAGTTATTGCGGCAACAACAAGCCACCACTTTTGAGATCCTTATCACGGATAGGAATTATCTTCGCGACAGATAAATATGTGCAGCGAAGTGGCTTCCAGTTTAAATATTTCCTCAATAGTAAGTCCCTTGCAAACTTCTTGCATATTGGTGACAATTACAGAAATTATTTTATAAACAATAATATATAATTGTTAGAGACATTATGTAAATAGTTTTGTTAAAAATATAACATTTGATACTTTGAGAAAAGCAGTAAGACAATTACAGAAAAAATGAAGAGAATATAATAAAACCATTGTAATAGGATGCGGTGGTATAATCACACGACCCACCGAACTTAAGCCTTTGATGCATGGAGAGGAATACTTTGGACGTATGAATTGCACTTGGATCATTAAAGCGCCGCAAGGAAAGAGTGTACTTGTGCGCTTCGAGAAATTCATTCTAGAGTATTCCACCAAGTGAGCTCTTGATGAATCCATATAGCGGATTTTTATTAGAAATATTATTAATCTTCTTTATTATCAATTTGTAGTTGTTATTTCGATAACGTCGCCGTTTACGAGGGTGAGTTCGTTCAAGAGGATAAACGACATGCTCTGATTTGCGGAAACTTGACTGGTAATTTACCAACATTTAAATCAGAGTCCAATTCTATGGTCGTTAACTTTAATGCCGACAGCTCGAGGCACTACGAAGGTTTTACAGCCAAGGTACAAAGTCTGTTGTACTAACAAATACTATTTTATGACATTAATTGATATGAAATTCACACCTGTCATTTAATAGTAATGGATACGCTACTTTTTCGTATAATAATTATCTATTGTCTCTTCTGTTTCTCACTTTGCTGATATATTTTTAATTAAATTAAAAAATCATATAAATAGTAAAAATAAATTATTTTAGGTGTTATTTACGACAAGTCCAGTTAGTGGTTGCGGAGGATTAATCAATTTAACTTCGAGTCAATCTAAATCATTCAGAACTCAACAAGCGGCAACTTATGAACCATTTGAAGAATGCCATTGGACTGTGGTTACATCGCCGGCCAAAACTATAATATTTACAATCAATAGCATAGATATCAAAAACTCAATTAATAATATCACTCGACGTGATAAATGTAGCGGTGATTATCTTGAGGTAAGTTTGCACCAATGTTTGATAAGTATTTTTAGAAATGCTGATAATAAGATTGTATCATACTCTAATACGCATATAAAGTTGCAAGAAAGAAGAAGATGCGAAAAATAAGCATCAGTTTAATAAAATTAATATGTTTATGTTAATGTTATATAATGCGTTTCATTATTCCTAGGTTCGAGATGGTGGTGGACCTTATGCCGAACTTATTGGTCAATTTTGTGGGAGTTCAGTGCCATCTCCTCTGGTATCCACCTCAAACAAATTGTGGATTAGATTTTATTCTGACGGCACTTCTCAAGGTGCTGGTGCAACAGGCACTTTGGAGACTAATGATGGTAAGAAGTTTTATATTTACTTCATCACAGTACAATAACATCGCTATTGTATTATATAAAACAAAATATACCTGAATATATCATTCTTCTTTTATGAAAAATTTTATTTTAATATCTACATATTCATTCTTTCTTTATTAGAGTCTTTGTTAAATACTTTCAATGATTTTAAAACATTACAGAGATAAAAATTCTTACATTTCTTGAATATTTATTGACATTTTACATCATTAGCGTTCCTCTTTTTATACAAACGAGTGATTTTTCTTATGTGATTTTGTTGTAGCATTGTGCGGCTTAGGTACTCGAGTAGTAAACGAGACAAATCATGTACTTACTTCGCCGAATTATCCAAATACGCATTTAGCTGGAACATTATGTCGCTGGACCTTGAAATTTACCGGTGAATATAGTGATAGACTGCGAATACGATTTATAGATTTTGATTTGATGGACTCTAACAAGTGTGAATACGAATATTTAGAAATTTCTGAACAAAACGTAAGTACTTGATAGATGATAGATAATGAACATTCAAATGTACTTATCCTATATGCCTTATTAATAATATATTGTTTTTAAAAAGAATATATACGTGTGTATATATATATGTATATATAATTATATTCTCAATAATTAAAAATAAATTTTTTTTACATATAATTAAAAAATTAAACTTATCTTCTTTCTAATAACCAGAAATACATAAATGAAGGCTTCGGAACAAACTTCATATACAGTGGTGTGAAAAACCATCCGATTAGCGTCGAAATGGTAAGATTTCTGCAGAATCAATACGTTTTACTACTGATGAATATTTATATTTATAAGATATTTTATTTTATCTTTTAGGGTAGCCGTTTACCTCTCGGCTCGTACAGATATTGTGGCAGCGCATTACCACACGAATATTATAGGTATTTGAACTTGACTTAATCAGATCGTTACAATATTACATATATCTTTAGAAGTAGGATTATTCCAAATTAAATATTCTTTCACAGTTACAACAACGAAGTCAAAGTGACATTTAGATCGTTGTCCAATGATCACAGAGGCTTTAAGCTCGAATACAGCACAGCGAGTTGCGATCGAAATTACACGAGCGAGCAGGGACGAATTTTCCATAACGGATTTACAAGTTGCTGGATCACGATCACCGTTCCGGCAAACCACACCATTTCTTTGTACTTCAATCATTTCAGCATTTACGATGGAGAGCAGTGCACGCGCAACGGTCTACAAGTATGTGATCTCCTTTACATTTGCTAAAGAGAAATTGCATTTGAGAGAACACAGAAATTATTCAACTTACTTTCGAAAATTCGAGTAACGTAAAACGCGTCGTAAGTCTAAATTGCTAAATAGATTTATGCGTCTCGCAGGTACATGAGGGTGACTCAAGTGGACCGCTTATAGCGACACTGTGCAGCACGATGATGCCAAGCCCGATTTTCAGTAGCGGCAACAAACTCACTTTGCACTCCTGGACCGAGATCGCCAGCTCTTATCAAAGTTATGACATCATTTACACGACCACGGATGCAGGTACGAGAGTTCGTAGCAGCATGCAGAAATTCCCCTCTTCCCCCCCCCCCTCTCGTTGCATTCGATTAATGCACGCCACCAGATGCGGAGAAATTATTAACGCGCGGACACGATGATTTACGTTGCGGCGCCTCGAGATACACGCCACGTGAAATGTTGCGGTTTATTTTCGCGGGGGACCGTACGCGAAAATCCGATTGCGATCTCGCGGCATCGCTTCAAACCAACACCACGCGAGTTATATATCACAACCAAAATGTACGCGCAGATCGACCACCGTCGTTTTGTAAAATATCTCAAAATCAAAATTGTGCAGGTCGAGGTTGCGGCGGACGTATATTCAATTACGGAGGCAGATTCACCTCGCCATTGTATCCCAATATATATCGCAATAATACTGTGTGCACTTGGGACGTAAGCGTACCGCGAGGTTTCAAGATCATTCTCCAGTTTCTTGTCTTCGACATCGGCACAAAGAAGACCTGCAGCAGCAATAATCTCAAAATTTATGACGTTGTACCCAGCGGAGAACTCTTACACAGCACTTATTGCGGCGGAGTAAGTTGTTTAGTAAAATGACATTCTCGAAAATCATCGATAGATTCTACAACTGGAAGAACTGATTATCTACAGAATTTTCTTGGCAAAAATTTATTCTGTAAAACTATTTTCAATTTTGCTTCAAATTATATATTTCAAATATTTTTAAAATCTTATTTCTATAAATTATATAATTGAATATATTTTCCATAATGTAGATATAAAATTACATAACATATATAATTAAAGGTATTTAATTAAGGATATCTTTACATAGGATGATCCAGCAAGACTCGAGGCTGATACCGATCGAATTCTTGTTAAATATACTTCGACAGTAAACAATATTGGAACAGGATGGGTTATTGCATTTATGGCACAATCGACTGGTAAGCATTCGTCTTTGGATAATGGGATGTTTAAATTCTTTTATGAACCACAAATTGCGCACATCACAGGTGCGAGGTGAAAGATATAATTATGAAATAATGTTTTCAGTGCATCCCATCGACATAATGGAAATAAACTGGTAAAGGAGACATTATCAAGACTGCAAAAAGTAACGTTTTTAAATATAAAATTTAGAGCCAGACATCCTACAATTTATGTGTATAATTTACTATAGATAGATGAAATAAATAAATTTGCCTAATATAGCGCATTATCATAAAACCTTTTGTAATTATGTATTTACGTAAATATCTAATCGTTTTTCACTCTTTTATTATCAATACATTGAAACGCGTTATTATTCTGATGCCGAACACTCTTCATCATTTACTTGAGCTGAGCAATTTTCTTCAGATTCGATCTCACTTGTTTCAATTTCATTTACGTCTTCTTCCTCTTTGATAGTGTTTGTTTTTTGTTGCTCTTCCTCGGCTTGCTCTTCTTCTTGTACTTCACGCTTCTTCTTATTTTTCTTACTTTTCTTTGAAGCTTCTTGAGGTTTCTGTTTATCATTCTTTGTCTTGTCCACAGTTTCTTCTTGCTCGGAATCTGTTACATCGGCTTCAATTACTTTAGACTTTGTGTTTTTGGATACCTCTTCCTTCTTCTTTTTCTTGTCGTATTTAGTTTTCTTTTCATTTTTATCAACCTTAACGTTTTCAGAATTTTCCGATTTGGAGCGCTTTGTCCTCTTCTTATTACTTTTAACATCAGCGTTTGCATTTTTCTCTACATTTTCTACTTCGTCAATATTTTTCGATTTCTTTTTATTTTTCTCTTCCTTCAAGCCTTTCTTCGACTTTTGGTGAGTCTCAGAATTTTGAGAAGCTTCAACAGGTTCTTCTGATTCTTTCGATTGTTTTTTGGCATTTTTATCTTTCTTACTTTCCGTCTTTATCTTATCTTTCGAGTATTTCGATTCTTTTTCAGTATTTATATTCCCTTCTTCATTTATCACTTCAGCATTTTCACGTTTATTCCGCTTGTTCTTCGATTTTTGTTCTGACTTTTTCACTTCTGAATAGTTTTCGGAAGGATCTTCGGAGTTTTGTTCTGATGAGCTACTTTTTCTTTTTTTCTGCTCTTTTACGTATTTGTCTTTTTTCTTTGACTGTTTGTCCCTAAAAAGTACATTAATTAATAGAGAAGTCAACATTAAAAATTGCAAATTAAAAATAAATAATATATATTGATTAATGAAGTATATAGCTGTTTTAAAAATAGTGACTTTTTTATCCATTTATTTAGATCCAAATCCGTGCATTTGTAAACTTTATCTAAAAGTGATAGTTAAATTTGTTAGAGAGATTAAATTAAATAAAAGTGCTATGTATATGACGACAATTTGAATGAATATTTTTTTAAGCATATTATATTCTGTTCATCAATTTCATTACTTACTTTGTACGGTATTCTACATCGGCCTTCTTTTCTTTTCGACCACCATCTCCTGATTCCACATCTTTGCTCGATTTTTTTGCAGAAGTTTCCGCAACAAGTATTGCAACTAATAGAAGCGCAGTCAATAATATCCACAATCTAAACAGATCGAATTTAATCTTTTTATTTCTAATTTCTAGAAGAGATTTTGAGACGTAAGAGATTAGAAAGTGTTAATTTTTCTTATTTCTATATAATTGCTCATAAATGAGTAAAATTAAATATTTCGTCTTAAATTTATATGTCGTAAGATACGGCTCTTATGATTGATTTATAACATCTTAAGATTGTACTCAAGACGGTTTTAAATATAATATAAGATTCGATTAAATACTGATCTTAAACGAATAAAGTCTCTCTCTCTGTCATGAGTTAATTTTTAAAATTAAATCTCTGTCTCATTTTCGAATGTTTTAATAAATATTTCTCATACCTCATTGTGATAATTATTTCTATACGATTGCACTTCGGTGTTCTTCACGCACTTATATCGGGCCTATCTGGCGCAACACTATCTCTGCTCAGAAGTTACTTGCCCCTTATATCTCATACGTTGTCAGCAAAGATATCTTGATAAATACAACGAATCTCGTACGTTCACGTCAGTGCTTTTGCGGATTCGATATCGCAAAAGCTATCTGGGCCAAATCTTCCGAGAGAGATGGCAAATTAAACACACGTTAAACGCGCAGCATGCGCAGAGTACGAGGTTCAAGTGTCAATACTACGCCCTGGTTGAATTCGCACATAATCGCAGACATGACCTGGGGGCTCTTCAAATGCGATACTGAGATGATAAGCTCTATTTCCTCGTTCGTATCTAACGTATCCATATTTCTTGTTACACGCATCGGTCAACTTTCATAGCTAAAGTTATATTTCAGATATTTGAATTACGGTGGATATCTTATACTCTACGGATATCTAATCTAATATCAACAGCAAAATCGTCTGACAGCACATACCTTCTGTTCTGACGTTAATAAGCACTCAACACAATGGTGTATGTGTGTAATAAACAACCGTTACGTGTTTATTCTCGAGAAGCCTTGATTAAATTGTAATTGAAAAAAAGTACCTTATGACGTCTATGACTGGATTAATACTGATAAATTTAAACGACAGTTATAATACTTTCTTAAGAAAAGCCACGTACATTGATCTGCCGTTTACTTCTCAGTGTCAAATAAATATAATAATATAGTGATCCTAAAATTTTTTCTTTTTTTTCTGTTCCCACTGAAAACTATATATGTATATCTTTTTCCTTTTTAAATAATTAAAATTACATCACGTTGGCGTTGTACGTACAATATTGCCTAATTTTATTGAAATTAAAATTTCAAATAAAGAGCGATAATTATAATACTGCCTTAAGAAAAGCACATACGTTTTGATATACTTTTTTAAAATCTTCTCAATGCCAAATTCACTATAAATTTAGTAGTATAATAATCCTAAAATTGCTTTTTTTCCCTCTCCGTTTTTTCTAAAAAGTGCATTTCTTTCCTTTTTAAAATATCTATAATCTTAAAATTACATTGCGTTGCACAATGTTGCCTTATTTTATTGGAATTAATATTTCAAATAAAGAGCGCGTACGCTTGATATATTTTTCAAATCTTCTTGATGCCTGTATTTCCTAAATTCACTGTAAATTTAGTAGTATAATAATCCTTAAATCGCTTTTTTTTCCTTTCCGTTCTTACCAAAAAATGTATTCCTTTTCCTATTTAAATAAATATTTGTCTCAAAATTGCATCGCGTCATAATATACTATATCGGAATTAATATTTTACAAATAAATTTGAATGCATAATACATATAGAATTAAGATAGAAGCGTAATTTAAAAAATAAATATCAATTTTAATAATAACATATTCACTACATCTTCAAATGCTTTTAATCGAACAAGAAATTAATCTAGATGAAGCTCACGGTTCCACAAAGAACAAAGCGCAAAAGCTATACGAGTTATGTGAGTGTATAATCCGTTCATCGAAATTAGGTAGAAAGGGAAAAATTATACGAAGAAATAAAATATTCGGCGTGCGTTTATTTCATATAGAGTAAAGATTTCAAAACAAATCGGTTGGCGCGCGGCCTTGATGTTTGTTTTCCCGCCGCGCACGACGTGGTGACGCGATGAGGTGTGAGGTGGAAGGTGGGGGATGGGGGTGCGGCGCCGACTACCGGTTACCGCCATCCGCCATTTCAGCATTTGCACGGCGAGGCTCGAGCAGGCAGGTAACTGCGCGTGTCGCTCCGTGTGTCGTTATTATCCCTCGAAACACTATTCATGATCGTTCGGCTATCGTAAATTCGCTACGAATATGCAATTCTCGAGTCGAATCGACACCTACGGCTAATCCACGAATAATCAGCACGCGTATCGAGGTGAGGCATTTCGTGCGATTTAGTTCGTCAATCGAAAGTTATGGGAACGTTGAATCGCCATTTCGCGCCGACATTCATGGGCAATATAATCATCCCTTCGCGGAACGTAGATTATTACGCAGGCTCAAATATGTCTCGCGTTACGCGTGTATAATTGCGAGTTTCGCGGTTATTTATTCGCGATCAGGCGATCGCGTCCGTTAAATTGATACGTGTAGCATCGCGCGTCTCTCGTCGCGATGATATCTCAGGTGCGTTCCCTTTTGAATTTGTCGGCCTTTTACGAAACGTCGCAAGTGCGAGACAGATCGGCTTCGAAACGGGGGCGACGTGTCGCGACGTAGTTTAATTAGCCCTAGTCATTCCGACACTTTGATATTTCCTCGTCACGTAGCATGAATTTCACGTTCGTGCCGCGGTAACTCGGAGGCTGGAATCCTGCATACTCGACACGATCGATATCCCCCATATTAATTCCGTCAATTTGCGAGACGCCACGAGATAAACAGCTTCATACGATCCTACATTTTTCGCGTCATTTTTTCATCGTGATGTAGCAAAGTACACGTCGCATGCATGTAAGTAATCGCCAATTTGGAAGTACCGCGCCGTGAGATATAATATAAATTTAATAGTATAATAATCTTATTAAAATCGCTTACTTAATGTTTCTTTCCATTCTTACCAAAAATTGTATTTCTTTTCTTTTTTAAATATCTATCTTAAAATTATATCGTGTAATTATCGCGTTGTAAAATGTTTTATCGGAATATTTTACAAATAATTAATATTTTACAAGAATGCACATAATATACATATATGTAGAATTGAGATAAAAGCGTAATTATAAAAACATATATATATATATATATATATATATATATATATATATATATTAATCGAGCAAAGAATTAATTTAATTGTTAGATGAAACTTAAGTTTCAAAAAGATTAAAGCGCGAAAATTGTGATACGAGATACGCGAGTATGTAATCCGTTCATTGAAATTAAGTAAAAAGGGAAAAATGATACGAGGGAATGGAATATTCGGTATGAGTTAATTTCGTATATGCGGAGTAAAGATTTGAAAATAAATCGTTGGCGCGCGGCCTTGGTGTTTGCTTTCTCGCCGCGCACGGCGCGCTACGGCGCCGCGGGCGGGGTGGGGTGAGAAGTGGGGGTCCGGCGCTACCGACACCGACTACCGACCGAGTAACCGGAGTACCGTCGTCACTTGCGCGGCGAGGCTCGAGCGGACGGGTAAATGGCGCGCGTGTCGCTCCGTATGATCCGTATGTATATTATCTCTCGAAACACTGTACGACTTGCGATCGTTCGCTACAAATATGCAATTCTCAAATCGAATCGACACTCACGGCGAATGATCAGCACGCGTATCGAGGTGAGGCATTTCGCGCGATTTGGTTCGTCGATCGAAAGTTATGGGAACGTTGAATCGGCATTTCGTGTACTTTATGGGCAATAACAATGACCATCTCTCTTCGCGGAACGTATAGATTACGCAGGCTCGAATATGTCTCGCGTTACGCGTGTAGAATTACGAATTTCGGTTATTTATTCGCGATCGATGATCGCGCCCGTTAAATTAGGCCTGTTATTCCTTTCAGCTGAACTCTCGCGCGGTTCATCTTTTCTCTTTTTCTTTTCACGTTGGAGGGAGAAAGAGAAAAGATAAACTGGGCAAGAAATTGACTCGCGTAGTGTCGCGCGCGTCAATGCGCGATGTCAGGTGCCTTCCCTTTTGAATTTGTCGGCCGTTCACGAAACGTTGCGAATGCAACGGGATAGATCGGGCTTCGAAAGGGGCGACGTGTCGCGACGTAGTTTAATTAGTCGCGGTCAATCCGACATTTTGATATTTTCTCGTTACGATAACGCATGAATTTGACGTTCGTGCTGCGCGAACTCGGAGGCTGAAATTCTACACAGCTCCGACACTACTCCGGTAATTCCGTTAATCGTTAATTTGAGAGACGCCGCGAGCTCTGATGATAGCTTCATCGTACGATCCTACACTTTTCGCGTCATTTATCCGTCGTGGTGCACCGAAGTACGCGTCGCGTCGTGTGTAATCGGCAATTCGGAAGTACCTCGCCGTGCAATTATCGTATTGTGTTAATTAATGCTCGAGTTCGTGTTTAACTGTAATTTTCGGGAGTGCGTGAGAGTGAGTATCATGGACGTGAAACGAGAGGATCTGAGAGGAGGAGCAGGCCCGGGGAGGCAACAGGCGACAGCGGAGCAACCACGAGGTAATTTATAATTCGAATCATTACTCTACTCTTAAATCTAAGTTTATAATTATTTCGTTAAATTCGCGCAAAAGTTATTCTTGTAGAATATCAATTATTTTGGGCGGTTGTAATAATTTGGACAAATTTGTATTTTACAGATCGACATAGTGTTACAACGCAGTTACATCTCCGCTGCTGCGCATCGTATCGGTGAGTCAAGTAGTTTTTATTTCGATATATAAAGTGATGTAGAAATAGATGAATCAGGATGTTGCAAATAAATATAGTAAATATGAAAATAAATAAATATGCACCTTATCCATTGCTTCAAAATGTATAGGCTGAGACGGATTAGGATTGAAAATATTTATCTTTGGAATATTTGAGATTAATCGTTGATTTATGGTGCGTACAAAAATGCACAATTATGAGATCATTAAATAGAGCTTGAAATATCATTTACTTACTCGCGTAAACTTCTATCTTCTACAAATCATCTTCGACAAAATTAAATAATTAGAATTAGGTATATTAGTCGTTTAAAATTTATAGAACAATCTTGTAAATGCAAATAAAAATTAACTAATTATCAAATCTTTTTTTGGTTTATGAGCTCATTTGTGCAATAACTAAACCTCGAACTAAACACTTTTGTCATGTTGTTATCAGTTCGTCTGTTTTTTATGCAAAAAATGTCACGTCACGAATATTTAGAGTTGATTCTCTAGCTTTAATCAGCTAGTAATAATGATAAATTCTGGAATTCACACGACATAAGAAACGTTCAATTGATTTTGATGTAGTATTTAATACAAAAAAAGCTTATGGTAGTTAAAGAGATAGTTAAAATAATTATATAACTAACTCTCGAATAAGAATCTGTTTTATTTGCCATTCACGATTAGCAGATATTTTTTCTCTCATTTATCACTTACACAGAATTTATATTCATTTCCTAATAAAATAATCTTCGTATTATTTCATTGATAATTCAGGCTACACGGAATATTGAATATCATGAATCATTTTATAGGAATTTATATCATCTATGTAAATTTAGAGAATTGAATGTACATATACATATATACACATATATGTAATGTGTAATATGATTATAAAATTTTAAAAATAAAAGGAAGAGACGGGAAAAATAAAAGGGAAAGAGACGGATATGGTTCTAAGCACGTAATAAAAACGCTGCGATTGATAAAACTATATGTTCATATATTTTGAATTAAATCGCGTATCTGCATTATTTAGTGTCTGTCATATTCTCTCGGTATTTAACATATTTTATCGCATACAGTACTATTTACTAGTATACAGTATACAAAATATGTACAATAATACTATTGCTACTCTATTATATTTCTTGACGCTCCTGGTCCTTGGTTTTATAAAAAAATGATAAAATTTTATGAATTCTACATACTAATAATAATGATAAATTAATAGGAACAAAAAATTAATATATGTATATAATGCCAATAATAATATATTAATATATCTATTATTATTGACGTTATTTTATTACACATCAGTTGAAAATGCTTCTATATAAACATGGTTTTTAAAATATATTTTATATAAGAAGATATTACATTTAGATGAGTGTATATATGACGTCTGAAATAAGAAATGAACTAAACGTATTAAAGAAAGTAAAAGAATAAATTCTCTTTATATTTTATACTAATTGTAAGATTATTTATTTATCGTACGTCATACTATAGTTTTTCTGAAATAATACATATTTATTTGACAAACTTTGTGTTAAAAGAAACAAGTGTAAAATAACGTAAAATATAAGTTTTTAAAATTATTCCATTACACGTCTCAAACGTTAATAAAAGTAGGTGCATTTTCTTCTATGTGTAAAGTTCAATTTCAGTACATATGCTTTACATACGATAAAGATATCGTAACATGTACGCGTCGAGATATTACATAAAGACACAACCATATTAATGCATAAGTCTTATGTATTAACAAAAGTAAATACTTGTGTACTAATGTACATACGAGTACATATGTATAAGTGTTACCGACATATAAAATATCTTATTTACGAATAACGAGATAAAATTAGAAAAATAAATCGAATTGATTTCAATAAAAATTATTTAAATATTAATGACATTCTCGCATTACTTATTAGAAACATGTGCATATGCATGTATCTTAGGCTACTAATGGAATCATTGCAATATTATATTTATAAATATAAAAATTTATAAAGGAATAAAATGTCCGGCAACATAACAATTTCTTATAACGTTTACAAAATAAATATATTTATTAATATTTGATCTCTAAATACGGAATTATAGGCTCTTGAAAATTTATTCGCATAATTCGATTTATATGACACTACATAGGCTGCGTTTCGATATTCACTGCCAGTACTGAAAATCTATATAGTATATGTGACGTGAACTATAGATTTTTAGTACTGGCAGTGAATATCAAAATGCAGCTGCAATAAATATTCTCTCGCATTCAGCACGATATAGTGGCAAGTTTATAGTATTAATTTATAATCGTGAATTTTGACATATATGTTACGTATAAATCTATACTAATTTGTAAAATCTCTGTTAGACGTAGAGATAAAGAGAGCTCTATTAGAATTTTATGAACTTGAAAATCTATATGTACCATAAGGCACTGCAGATTATAAAAAGTAGGAACCAATAAAAGTACTCCAATTCTATGATTTTGCTTAATTCTCTCTAATGCATGATGATTAAAATTATATTCTATTTTGAGAATTGTGTAAATAAAGTTGCTATGTTTTTAGTAGACGTATATTTTAAGTATCTCTCTAAACTTAATAAGTACTCTATTATTCTTGGATGTTTTAATTATATACCAGCATACATATATGTATACATATGCTTGTATATATGTTTAAACTCTTATGTATATAAAATTGTCATTGTTCTGAAGCGTACGTACATAATTAAAGAAAAACAAGTAACTATTTCATATTATTACGAAATCCACATCTTATGAATCATTCTTAACACTTTAAGTGCCATGTCATCTGGGTGACGCGTAAATTTCCGCAAAGACCCCGTCATCCATTTGTGAGTGACGGTCTTATTTACTCGATTAAGAATAATTTTACTAAATATTTAAGACATTAATGAAATATAAATTTTACTAAGACATTAAAGAGAGCAATAAATATTAAAATATTATATTAGATTTATTAAATTCAATGTCGAAGCTTGGCACTCAAAGTGTTAAGAAATCGTAAGTTAGCTTACAAATAAATTACTATACAATAACTTCAAAATAAAGAATTTAAGTATGTAACAAGCAAAATTGAAGAATATAGTACATTACTTGTCTTTAGAATGCAGGAATTCGTGAGATTTCACATTGAATTTATTTTATTCGAGTGATTAAAAATGTTACTTTCTTGAGATTGCTAATAACAAATTAAGAAAGGAGTTTATAATTTAAGTTCGAACAATAATATTACGCAAAAACAATTGCGCGTCGTCCGCGTTTAATATTTGGAAATAAAACGGCGCGTTTCCTAATTAGGATTGTGTGACAGCTTACAAACGCACGCTACTTAATATTAATTATTTCTTCAAACATTTGTGCACAATTCGTGTATATAGTATCTGTATATTGCGTACGATCTATATCAAAAACTGATTTAAACATTCTATCATGTACCTGAGGCAATCATTTCATAAAAATATCCTTCTTCACTATAATACATATTACCTTGATAACTATATAATTTCTCCCATATTAACAATCAGATCTATTTACAATAATAGAACGGTATTGAAAATAGGTATTTTTCATATATTCGTACATATATTCGACTACGTTTTGCGCGTTAAAAGACCTAAGTTTTAACATAAGGAATGACGATAGCGGGAAAATAAGAAACCGAAATATACATCACGTTTGTTCTGACGGATTTTTTCGGTTCGAAACAAACTTGCTCTATTCCCGCGACGAATCTTTTAACGGGCGAGAGTCTTCTTGAACAGATTGAGGATACTTTTGATCGGGATAGTTCCATGCTTGTATGTCCGCCGTACCAAATATTTGATAGGCGATATACGTACTGCAAGATACACCTGCAGTAACCGCAAATACATTTCTCCACGAATCGAGAGATTGCTGTTGGGAACATTATGTTATTTTAACTTTTTAATTAATAATAGGGAAAAATAAAAGGAGAAAATATAACGCTTACACTTTCTTGCGTGAGCAGACCAGCTGCTATAGGAGATAGGAAACTAGCGGTCATGTGAATCGTCTGCGCGAACGCTAGCACTGGCCCTAAAAATAACATATTGATTTTTAAATATTGATATTCTTATAAGAAATAAGTATATTCACAAATTAATGGGCGCACTGACCAGCGAAATTGGGAGCGATGTCAACGATGTTAGCCATTGCGCCTGCATAGCCGGCTGTTATGAGAGTAACAGCTATGAACCATATGATTAAAACTAAGATAATATCACATCCTAAGTATCCAATTAAAACCACGAGTATTCCGGGAACCACTTGAGCTATAAGGAAAAAAAATAGATTTATTTTCCGAGTATTAGATAAGTTGAAGGAAACCGCCGCTGGACTTACAAAGTGCCGTAAATATTTTGCGCACAGTGATTAAAGTCATGATTTGCCGCGTGACTAGAAGATCCGCAACGTAACAGAATACAACGGAGCTTAAGTAGCTACAGATAAATGGTGCACCTGACAGGATACCATTCTAAACAAATTAAAAATTTGATTATTCTGTTAATCGTTACATTGAAAAAAATTCCAATAAGATTTTTCCTTGAATACATACTGCTTGTATACTGAATCCTAACACTGTCTTCATATACATCGGGCCGGGAATGATAAAGACATAATGTACCCATATTCTTCCGAAGGTTGTAATACCGATAGCCCATGCCGGCAAAGACGTGAGTATAGATTTCCAAGGAACGGGCAAATCCTTAAAAAAAAATACAGTTGTGTTAGTGTGTTTCTTCTTAAAAAAGATATTATTTAATAAATCAGAGAAGATACATAGTAGATACAAATCACTTTACCTCGTTCGCTCCGATAACTTGGTTTCTAACACATTCCTGAATGTAACGGAGTTCTGGCTTAGATATTCGGGGATGCGAGGCAGGAGTGTTGAAAGCGCAAAAATACCAAAAGATACACCACACGAGACCGACAGTACCAGTCGTGTAGAATACAGTCCTCCATCCGAAATGGACGATGATGAACGCACACAACGGATAGGTCAATCCGATGCCGATGCTGAACCCTGAATATAGACAACCTAGATGTTAGGAATAGCTCACCCTACGATCCGGAACAAGCTGAAACATGATGCTTGTCGAATGGCCTTGATCTTGATTTGTTACGACTCATGCGTGGTGATGATCGCTCTTCAGTCGAGGTGTACGTATCTCACCCTGTAAAGCGATTCAAGTAAAGACTTAGTACGCAAGGACGATGATGAGGCATGATGAAGCTGTTAATAGTGGGACAATGAAACTTCTATGTCTGTAAATAATAAAAGTTTAAACTCGTTCTACCTGCAAAATAAGTGTCACCTTCGTACGCAGAGATCGGTATCACAAAAAGTGCATTGTAATGAAGAAATTAAGTTATGTGTACGCGTATAAGTTAGGAAAAAAGTATAGATCTTTTCTCTCACATTAGCATTGCTTTTGTTGTTATGTTATATATACATAAAACGCACCCACATAAAAGTCATTTGTAGTTAATATTTCTAGTATCATGAAGTATTATCTTTACGAAGGCTAACTTTATTTAATAGGGAGTCAGTATACACTACTTAGACTACCTATAGTTCATGTCAGAATTTAAGATAAAATTTCATTTATAATTTCATATATCGTGTAAAATACGAAAAACATTTGAGGAACACATATGTGTATATAAAATATGTATCTAATTAAATTAACATAAAATTATATCTAAAATCTGAAATGAATTATAGATCGTTTAAAGCGGATTTAAGGATATAAACAGCATTCGAAGACACATTTTGTGCTAGCAGAAAGAAAGTCTAATAATTTAGATAAATAAGTAAACGAAAAAAACAACGCGCAATATCGTAAATAAAACGAATAGATAAAACGAAACTTGTGGTCCGACTCTGGAAAAGTTTGAGTGAGAAAGATGATTAGATTTATTATTAATTCATACTGCAGACAAATGGATGTAGTCAAAAGATAGAATTTGTACATATAAGAAAGATAAGTGTAAAAAATATACATGTTCGACGAGCCCGGCTGATTCTACCAGCTGGAAGTATACTCGGCCTTTCTCATGCTGTTGAGCGGTTGCTGTTGAGTATACCCCTCGGTCCGGCGAATGCAACCTCGTGGAGATGAACTATTCGGGATCATTAACAAGTGATCAATTTTCGCGCAGATCGATGCGCAACATTTATAGAATTATTTTCATTTTAGCAAGAGATTATTTTCTCTTGATCCGGAATTTTGACTGAAAGAATAATGTGTAGTTTCTCATTCGAACTTCCATATTCCACTCTGAAAGAAGCGTGCATTAGTATTCACGTGAACACAATCGAAAAGAATATGCGACTTTCACTTTACGGCGTTATACTTGCGACTGTAATATGAGCGTACGCGCATAGTTTTCGCCTAATCGAACGTAACGAAGTTTCACTGTAACACACGAAAATCTCCGTTAGCGGCCGGCATCTTATAACGTACCTTGGAAGGAAGACATGAAGCGTGAGCGTTCCACCGGTGGAATCCAGTGCCCGATTACGGCATACATCGCGGGCCACGTGAGTCCCTGTTTTCAAAAAAATAAAAAATCAAGATTAGCCATAAAAATCTGTTTTTGCTATCCCAAAGAATAGAAAAATTTAAACGATTTTTAAAAGATTGTTTTATCCTAAAGATTTAAAATGTCTTTTAGACGTCTTTACGATATTCTTTAGATATTTATTTTGTTTGAATATGACAGTAAAGTTTGCCATTTTATCCGATGATTAATAACTTACACTTGCAATGCCCTGTATACTACGCAATGCTATCATGGCCCCATAATGAATCTCCGCGGCAGTTGGCATAAGCAGACTGCAAACGGCAGTGACGGCTTGAGATCCGCCGAATATGGTTTTAGTGCCGAAGTACTGAGTAAGAACACCGCCGAGCATTTGCGAAAGTATATAACACCAATAGAAAGAACTGAGAATGGCCGATTGAATAGCTGGGCTCCACTCGAATTCGCCAGCGTCCTGTCCAAAAAAAAGACACGATTTTGTAGTGCAACATATACATAAAAATTCTTCTAAAATTTGCTCGAATTGAGCAGATTAACTTTTCACTAAAGTTAAAAATAGTTAAATTTATTTAGGAATTAATAGGTTCAATTTTTTCAATCTTTTTACTGTCACTTATTAATTGTTTTCTTAAAAATATTATAGCCATAAAAGAAATAGTAAAAAAGGATCTACAGGTTTTGTGGAAGAATAAATGAGCGTTACTTTTAATTTACTAAAAAAATATCCGTTGTTTGCTGATCCGTTGTTTTATTATGTATAAAAATAAAAAAAAGAGTCTCGTTAAAAGTTAATCTTATTTGCTTGACATATTTTATAGAATAGATGATGAAATTCATAATATTATTAGCTTCTACAATATATCTGATTTTCTGTTGAATTTCTTCTCAGAACTTTGCTTTCTTATTTACTAAACTTTTTACGTACACTTTTTAAGTATTCTTTAAAGAAATTTTTTTTGCTCTTGACGACACGTGGAATACATTTGTATTATATTTATGTTATACAATACCCAAGTATCTATGCTGCATTCGTATTCAAATAAATTGTTGATCCTGCTAGTTACTACAATGAAATATATTCCGATATTGTGACTAACAAATATTCTGCATATGCACGCATTTTAATGCAACTTGGTAAAAGAAGACTTTGTGAAAAGAGAAAAAATAATTTTTCTTTGACGCGTCAAAAGATTCTCTTTTCGTCGAGAAAATAAATCATTACTATTTTGAAGCTCGTATGAAATGAATGATACATGAATAAAAAAGAAATTATGCGTTATGCAATATCGTAATATCCAAGCGTACCTCCGGCCTGGTTACAGTGGTGTTCTCCACGTGTGACGCATTCGATATTGTGTAACAGTGAGACGTTACCGCGGCGGTTTCATTGTTCGACGTTAACGGCAGCTTCGCCATGGCCACCATGGCGATGTTAATGTCTGTTCTCATCATGAAAGACACGAGAAATCCGGAAAACGAAAGCATATACAGCACGACACGTGCTGGAACCATGTCTGCAATAAGAAAATCAATTCAATCTGATTAGTGATTATCAAATATCGCGCAATATTGATCGTATCGACTTGCATTAGAAAGCGCATTTGGTTATTGGCGATTACCGTGACTTTGACTCCTTTCTTCTTTCTTTTTTTTTTAAGTAAAAACTTTTAAGTTATGCTACAAAAAAGATTACCTCCCAATTTTCGTAAGCTGCAAGGTGGCTGTTCCTTATACATATCAGATTCCTCATATCTGTAAGGAGTGTAAGGTAAAATTACTGCATGATATGCAATGTCGCAGTAAGACGAAACAGTTAGTGACAATAAATCGAATTTTTAATGATTATTTTTAGACTTTAATTATACTCAGACTTGAATATTTGCAAGTGAGATGAAAAAAGATGATAATTAAAAATGCAATAAAATAATTAAAAGTTTCCTAAAATACACGATGGTATCAAACACTTATTTAAAATGATAAAAATAAAAAATATACTACGTAATGGATAAGCCGATAACGCTATTGCAGAGGGCTGTACGAACAAAAATAAGAATATTTATTTAAAACGGGTTCTTTACCTTTGAGATTCTTCCATTTCTTACGTGGAGCTTTCGATTTTCGAACAGAGTACAAAAACGAATCTGTTGTACACGGTGAAAACACAAAGATCACCTTGGAGTCTGCAAAATAGAGAAAAATAATCTAATTTAATAATCATCACTTTATAAAAGTGAGTTTTTTAACTCTTACGCGACGTGACGTTTTAATTTTATGAGTTACTTTCACTTTATCAAGTATGAAATGGCGTCAATTAACTTGTATAAGATATTCGAACTATTGCATCAAGGTCATGATTTATGAGAACAGAATGAAATTCCAACGCGAAACTCATATCGACATTCTTGAAGTTCTTTGTGGAAGCCTCCGCAAAAATTTATTTATAAATATCTTGCTATTTCATTAAGAATACGGAAATCAATTTCATTATAGAAAATAATTATTTTTTATATACAGAGTTTTTTTTATAATGAGTCTTTATCTCTCTTTCAATTAATAAACGAGTTACAAATTGTGGTTTTGTACTTTACTAACAAAAAAATATATAGCAATAGTATAACTCCTATTATTTAAAGATTTTTCATGTATACTTGTTATACGTAAATGAATCTTTTGTATTTTGTAGAATAATAGATATAAATATGAAGAATTTTGTACTATTTATTTAAATTATTTTTTAAATTACAATATAATACAATTCCAACTATATATGTCATTTAATAAATTATCACATCTTTTCTCTGTAAAATAAGTTTCGTATTCTTCAAAATGACTAAAGAAAAGTGCTATTATTTTCGATGAGCGAATTAGATTAAATATAAAAAAAAACCACTTAAAATATCACGATTCGATATATTTTTCAATTTTGTACAAGGGATTATAGTTAGTAGTATAATCGTAGATTTCAATTCTAATATCTGCGATATTTAAATACAATGTTTAGTTATTCTTTCTCGCGATTTGCATAAAGAAATAATTAAAGTTAAACGAGCAATCGTACAAAACCAATGATACTTCCGCAAAAAAATTGTCGAGACTGTCATTTATGCACAAAAAATGCGGAATTGATTAAAGACAAAGCTTGACATTGAAGGTAAATGATGATCATGCAAAAATAATTTTACGTAATAATAAAAATAATATTATCGAATTAGAAACATAAAACATAAAAAAAATAATCTTTAAAAATGGATAGCGTATACGAAATGTGCATTAAAATTAAAACTATATAAATTTAATTTTTATTAACACAAAATACGAGATTAATTATTTTATTTCGAGACAATGCAATGATTATAAAGCAAGATGAATTTGATAGAATACGCAATAAAGAAAAATATTGCAACACACACTTACGCACACATACACAGAATATTTTTCTTTTAATTTATCATATCAAGTATGTTATTTAAGCAACAAAAAATAAAAGTTATAAAAACGAATTAAGTATATAAGCATAAATTTATTGTCAACAAAAATTCGTGCGGGTAATTATTAAAACAATTGCAAAAATTCGTAGAATAATTTTACGATGTATGCAGATAAAATTCATTCTATGTTTCGTTATATAACTTTATGTAAATTCTTTAAAGATCAGATTGAATGTGTAATCGTATTAATAGAAAAATTTCAAACTAGATCTTAAGGTACAGTTACGGTTATCTTTCACTTTATTTGCATCTAGTGTTTCAAGGTAGGTAAAATGTAAAATATCAGATAATTCACTGAATAAATAACACTATATTACATTCAGAGAGCCACACATGATGATGTGAATATACCTAAAATTGAAATGTCTAAGTATGAATTATATTTTTTTGCTTTGAAAAAAAAAAAAGCATTGTTGGAAACTGTCTATTCATAGTCCGTTCTTATTTCAAGACCGTCTTAAATAATGTCTTGATGCTAAAAATTCTGTGCTAAAAAAGATGTCTTAAGATGCTATAAATTTATATGATTATACTACTAACTATAATTCATTGTACAAATAATGTCTTAAGATGATTTTGTGTTCACATAACTTCTCAAGATTGTACTTAAGACGGTCTTAAATATAAAATCCGACTATGAATACCACTCTACGTTTGTTAAGTTCAACAGAACCTCTTGCAAATATTATATTAACGCTATCTTCATTTTTTTCTTAAGAAATGGAACGATCTCGAGACGTTTTATAAAATTTAAAAATTGATATAATACACTTAAGCTTTTGAATGAAGGATTTATATTATCAATACGATGTTCAGAAATATATTGTAATTACAATATTTTCTGTCTTTTGCCGAAAAAATTTTCAATAGTAAGTTAGTCAATCAATATAATTAATTTGATTTTCAAAGTCCATACAATACATCATTATCTTCAATATCAAAGAGTCATGTCAAGAAGGCGATTTCGATATTGAAATGGTACTGATGGTAACTTAGTTCGATGAATGTGATTTGTTAGCAAATGGCGAATAAAAAAATTCGTAACATTAGCATTTTACTCGTTTTCCGAAAGTCATGTTGAATGCAGAATAACCCCGATGCGTCACACTGATATATAACAGCGAATTATAACAAATTTTAAGTGCGTTTGTGATAAATATAAAATTGTCGCGTCAACATTGCTATCGATGAGTCCGCTCGAGATATCACTTACGTCAAAGATAAGTATAGAAATGGGCAGAAGGACGCGATTACAACTTTACGAAATTTAACAAATGCGACTCGAAACGTGTAGCGCGAATGGAAGAAATCGCGATACGATCAACATGATTGTAGGCGGAACGAAGTGTCGACACTGAAAGGCAACCGGACCACGAGGCGTTGACTATCTTCATTGACCCCACCATTGCGCCGGTTTTCGATCGTGTTCTTGGTATAGTGCGCGACGAGTATGTGGAATATTGTATTATTCCTCTCAGGTAGTACGTCATGCGAATGTGAAGTTTTTTAGTAGTTGGTTATTGACGGTCATGTACTAAATTCAAAGTTTAAAATGAATGACTTATCAAATACGTTCCTTATATAAGGAAAAACATGAGGAGTGAATTATACTTATTGTTAGGCTGAAAAAATGGAAATAAAAACAATATCTGCGTAATTAGCTAAAGTCAAAAAAATAGTTATGAAGAAACGATATTCGTTTTTGTAATAAAAAATTATTATAGCTATATCTTGTTATGGAAGCATTAATTGCACTTGAATATTTTTCCGATAATTTCGATATAATGCGATAAATAAGTATATACGATAAAAAGGTAATTATTACGTAATTGCTGATTACGTAACTGCGGATTTATCATATTTCTATCGTGATGGAGTGAGGTAGATATAATTAAGAAATAATTGGTGCACATTTAAGAGAATAACTTTGAAATGATGATTTTATATAAGAATTTTACAAAAACGCTAAATGAACACGAGAATTTAAAAATGCGTTACATCAATAATAAAATTAATTGAATGTATCATTAACAATAGATCTAACTCGTGCATGATCCTGATAAGATGATGATCATAGATAAAGTACTAAAACTGATTCGGAAAAAAATGTATTGGCAAAAATGATATTCTCTCTCTCTCTCTCTCTCTCTCTCTCTCTCTCAGTTCAAGGAAAAAACATTTTTTTTATTACCAAGTTCTTTCACGTGAGTTATAAGAATTTGCCACTATATTTCCAGTACGTAGTACGTGTATAAAGTTGTCGATACAAAGTACATTATCATACATACTTATCATAAATTATTTTACTGTTGAAACATTCTGTGTATATTCTGCAGTGAAACAGAGACCGTTCTTTGATCGATAGTTCGTGTTGTATTATAACGAAGCAAATGATAACGTTTAATGCTTATTTTTTATTTGACTTTACAAGTTTCATTGGTCTCTTAGCGTACGGATTATTCTTCCGATAATGATGAGTTAGTAAAATATGTACAATGACATAATTTTGCGTAATAGTTCAAATCGATCGAGCCGAAGACTTCATCATGAAGAAACTCACATTTTCTTCAACTTATCAATTGTCTTAATGAAGAAATTTCATCGCCACAATATTGGGATTAATTATCTGATAGCGTCTCATAGTTAACCTTATTACACGATCGAGGCAGGGCAGGTCATGCAATTCGACCAATAGAGTTGTATTCCAAAAACAAACACAAAAGTGACGTGCGTCATAACAACGTAACGTATTCGTTAAATATAATTTCGCTTCTAATTGTAAGAAACAAAACGTGTTTTCTATATTAACAAAATGTGATCTATTATCAATTTGTCAGATAAACGTATTACTTTGTATGCACAAGGTAAAAAAAAAAAAAAACGTTGACAGGAAAACGACAATAATGTGCCAAAGAAAATAATAAACAATGAATTTAATATATTTATTGAGAAAAAAAAATTTGTGAATAACAGCTGAAACGGACAGTGAATTTGTGAATTTACGGTTTAATACATCTTACAATTACTACGTTTACGCGAGCGTTACTTCTGTAGTAACTTACAATAGTTCACTCGTTTACGCGGAGTAAATTATCGTAAGTTACTACAAAATCCCGTTTGCGTCAAGGAAAATTCCGTCTACGCGAAGGAATGATCGTAAGTTACTACAGAAGTAACGCTAGCGTAAACTTAGTAAATGGCTATAATTATGTCCAACAGGTATCACACACACACACACACACACACACATACACAAGGCAAAACGACTTTTCTCTAGCTCTACAATTTTATGATTACGTAACATGATTAAAAGAACGTGTCAATTACTGTGAGAATTGTTTTATTGACAAGGAAACCTTAAGAAGTCTCTATTTGATTTTGATTAGCTGCGGCTAAGAGACATGGATGGTTTCCTTTATATGTTTAGTAATGTGTAGCTTTTGAAAGTTGACTGTTTTATCATTGAGAATTTTATTATATAATATATACAACTGTTACCATTCGTGTAAATTATAATAGTGCATAGTGGTGTCAATTCCATATATCTGTCTCGCTATTTGTTAATATTGAAATTGCAGTCCTAATAAGAAAAATAGAATGCTATATTACACATAAAATTGTGCCAAGTTAGTGCCTAGATTTCTAGAAAATCTCTCCCAATTGATGTCTTACTGTGATTACCATTCGTTTGATGTAGTTGACTTATGACGACTCTGATAGTCGATCTCCAACGGTGATTCAAACTGCAATTGGCTTCTTCGTTGATGAATATTTTAAAGCAAGGTGGAAAGAGTCTTGTAAATTATGTTATTTATGATAATCAATTATTGAAGAAATTGCAATTCTTTTTACGCATTAATTTCATACATTAAGTCATCTTCAACTCCTTGTTTCAATTTGTCCCACCCAAAGTAAAAAAAAATAGACAATTCCATCAGTTTTTACACATACGGTAGACACAGAAATAGGAAATGCTAAGTAACTTTATAATAACATATTTCCATGCATCGCTGAAGAAAAAACTGTTAGCCCCGTCATTACACGACGTTGGATAATACACCAAATGTGCTTAGATAGGAACGGTAAATCGCGAAAAGTCATGAAATTAGATTGATGTAGGTTTGAGAGCTACCGCCCGACAAAGTACTTCAATTGTAGATGTAGATTAAGGCCATTGCTCATTTGAGGTTAAACACGCCGACTCTCCCAACTTTGGAGAAACACGTGGTCCGTCGTGTCTGCTTTCGAGAGCAGCGAGTCACAAAGATCGTGCAAATCGAAGGGCAACCGATCGGAACTCACTTTAGTGGCGTTTCTGCGTCCAGCGGATGTCTCGTGTAACGTGGATGCTCTCTTGCGCGGCATTTTTATCCACGCGGCGGCACACGCGACAATATTGGCGTGTGTTCACTCACGTCGACGAGAGAAGCGCGTTGATTCACGATAAGCCGTGAGACTCGTGAAAGTGGAAGCGGCAAAGGCAGGCGTGGCAAGGAGGCTGAGGAGAAGCGAATGAAGCGAACCGAACCGAAATGCGGAAACCGGTGGAACGCCGCACCAAATGCACAGCACGACCGCTGCCGACAGTGCCGACGCAATCATTACGTCGGCTTGCGTCGGCTCCTTTGATGACGATACTACCGTCGTGATCACGTGACTCATGAGCAAGCAATGTCCAAGGTCCAAGCGATCGATGGAGGCTCAATGCGCCGACGCGAATGTGCGATACTGTTACGTGCAAAACGTAATGTAATGTTTTAAAGTGTTGATAAGATAGAAAAAAAAGTTCTAGATAGAAAAATCCTATCCTTTTGACCAACTTTGGCTACGGTCAACATACGTGACGCTACAAATGCTTTGGAGCGTTCTTCTTCTCTTTCTTTCTTCATTGAAAGAAAAGAGAAGAGGAATGCTTCGAAGCATTTGTAGCATCACGTTGACCGTAGCCTTTGTTTGGCAACAATATAGGCAAGCAAAGTTAAAATAAAATAGTATATTGAGTCGAAGGTGCATTCGCTTTGCATTACAGACAAGAACTCGTAAGAGACAAGAGACTCGGCTTAATCAGGCTCAATCGAGTAACAGAGAGTTCTTCTAAGATATGGTCATAGTCAAATAGTGTCCTAATATCAAAAGTAATGATTGATTTGATTTTTTGAAATGGAGTCAGTATTTGAGAAAGACGGGATCTGTTAGATAAGAATAAGTTCTATCACAGCTATTGAGCTATGTTGGACACAGGGAGAAGCTGCGGGGAGAAACACACTTTCCTTTTTATCTTTATGTACATACAAGATAGCAAAATAAAAAATCTGATATTATGTTAGGGACATAATACTAGGCACTATTTGTTAGAGAATCGTTTTACAGATGTTTCGAGAATTTTAAAAATCTAAAAATTCTGCAAGAGCAACTACTGCACGCAACATAATGCGCGTGAACAAACTAGATAGATATAATCCCGATGACTCACCTACGAGACTGCAATGTATCACGCCCTTATGCGTCACTATTAAATTAGTTTTTTACTAATGAATAACTGCAGCAATTTGTGTCTAATTTTTGCTAAAATGTATTTTATGAGATGCTATATTAAGGAAGTAATTAAACTGGAAGTAAGAAAATCTGATATTTATTTTATATATTGCAATTTTTTGATCATATAGTCTTTAATATTGGAATATTCTATATTTATTTTTACTACATATTTCAAGATGTAATATTAGAATCTTTTATTTAATTAGTTTGTGTGAGATCTTAAAATCTATTTATAATAAATCGTAATAATATAAAACATAGTGTGCAAAAGTTCGTCATTAAAATTGAATAATATTCTAAGCAGTGCTTAGTTGATTCGCGAATAGAGAAACATCGGTATACATAGAAAGAGAAATTAAACATTAAAATATAAATTAAATGAAAGTATAAATCACATATAATTTCTGAGATTTAATCAATATAGGTACCAAAAGTAGATACTGACATTAAACTTAAAAAGAAAAGATATGAATTAAAAATTCTTTCTGCTGTTATGCTGTGTAAAAATTATTGCCACTTTTCTTATATTACGTATATAATAAGCGTAAAAATTTGGGAGGATTTCAAGCAACACGAACAAATTTATCGAATCTACTTGAATCGACTTTTCTTACGTCGCATATTGTAAACACAACTTCGGGCGAATAACTACTTTTTGGCGACGTAAGAAAATTCATGTAAATGTTGTCAAATTCGTTAATTAATGCCATTATACATAACATGAATCAAGGAAATTCTTCAGTTCAGTCGAGAAAGAGACTTTCAAAAAATGCCTTAATCTTGTCACACGACAGCAATTGCAAGTAGGTTATATTAGGATGTTATGATTGTAACGATGAAAAATATGCATTTTCTTAGTAATTATTCAACGTATTGCTTTTTGAGAAATAATAATTAAGAAATAATATCTCGCGCTCTAGATTAAAGACATTGCCTTCATCAACATGTATATCGGATACCTCAACGGGAGATCTGAAGACAGATCTATCGAAAGATAGCAAAATCATGCTTAGTTATGGCAAATCTTCAACTCGAGTTAATAAAACGGTAGCTGTGCGATATATACATATATTATGGATATAAGTTGTCAAATTATGTTGTGTCAAATTATATTAATTCATTCGGTTATTAGGTTTCCAATGCGAATCTTTCCGCGAGAAAATTGTGGAACAATGTATCCAAGATGACTAGAAATTCCGTTACTGTAAATGATGTAATCGAAGAAGGTTTTGTATTTTACAATCTTTCTATTTTATAATAATACAAGACGCATGGGTTGGAAAGAAGTTAATTACTATTTAAATTTAAATACGTAACAAAATTTATTAGCGTTTTTAAAGAGAGTTTTACATTAAGCATTGAGCACTTGTAAATCTTTTCACTTGTAATTTTATTTGGTGTTGTATATCCGCTATCGCGAAATGTATTGATTTTTAGAAAGTGAGCTTATTGGTATGTTGACGAAACAATTGCATCAAGCTGAGTCACAAATGCGAAAGATGCAATCCGTTTTAACAAAAGCTGAGGAAGGCTTGCGAACTAAAGATCAGGAAGTTGGACGCTTAAAGCGGAAGGTTCTCTGTACGCTTTATTTACAATAATCTAAGAATGTAGTATTATTTCATAATATTCATAGTTAGCTTAGTAAAGAGCTGGTCTTTTCGTATTTGTATTGTGTGTTTATTAAATTTAGTTATAAAATATCGAATTCATTTCTTTGCGTATTTTGTTCTTATATTTTTTCGTTATACTCTTATGAACTGTTTTTCGATACAATTTCTCTCCTCTTTTTCGGATGATATATCACGTTACTTTGGTAGATTAAAGAATGGGAAACTAAGTACAAGAGTCAGGAGTTGCTACGAAAGAAAGAGCAACGAAATCAAGCTAGTAATTCCGAATATTTCTATCAACGATGTCTAACGCTAGAACACAAGATCAGCGAGATGGAGGTTTAAATTTATGTTTTAAATATGTCCGTTCTGTATATTTAAAACATAATTAGTAATTAGCAATTGCGTCATTTTGATATTGCAGAAATTCTTAGCTGATTACGGGTTAATATGGGTGGGTGACCCCAAAAATACGACAAACGTAGATGGTAGCAAGTAATTAGAATAAACTATTTGCTATTGGCTAGAAGTAGAAGTAACCGATCTAACAATTAGTTATAATTCCATTGTAGTAATTATATCAACGCCTGCTATGAGCAGTTAGTTGCGAATATCGATCAGTTGAACCTAGCTGCGGGAAAGGGTGAAGTTCACATTCATCATAATGAGAAAGGAGGAGGAGCGACATTCAAAGTAATGCTCTAGTTTTGTACGGCGTACTTCTATATTATTTAAATATTTACGAGATTTACGCTTACAAAATTACGCACGTGATACATATTTAATATATTTCGGAAATGTCGGAGAAGAATATTAATTTATTATTGATTAGTTAGAGTTAATATGTTTATTAATTATTTAGTGATTACACTTACACATATTGTCAATCAACATTTTCTTTATACATTTTAATTAAAGACTCCTCCCTGCATGACGTTGAAATTTTATAAAAACGGTATGTGCGTCAATGGAGAACCATTGCGATCTTACAATGATCCATCTGCAATCTCGTTTATCCGCGATATTCTGGATGGATATTTTCCATCTGAGTTGCAACAAGAATATCCTGATGGAGTGCCCTTTATGGTAAATGTAAAATAGTGAAACAGAATTTTAGAAAATATACATACATATGAGATATATTTTTCGCGGTTTTTCCCTGGATTCTTTGATCAGTACGGGACTAATAAAATTTAGCCCGCATTCTTCTTATAATTATAATTTATACTTGCATACGTAGATCGAAGATCGTAGAACAGAATTGCACGTAGATGATTCCGCTTGCTTTCCTGGTCAAGGATATCGGTTGGGAAAGCAAACTCCAGTAGATAACTTGTTATCGACAAATTTACGGAGATCAAATAACGTTTACCAAAGATCTACTCGTGCAATCCCTTCGGCAAAAGATAACACTTCCGAGAACATTCCGCTTTTATCACTTCCAGACCGGTAATATCACTACTTCTAAACAAATAAATATTCAAGTACCTGACTTTTCTATACCGCAATATACATCCTGAAATACTAAAAATAAGCAAATTTATCTTATAATTATAAAGAAATTATAAGGTGATTATTATTACGTAAATTGCTAAAAAATTTATAACGCATTTTTATACTCTCTATTAGTTTATTGGATCCCAAAATCTCGGAATCGCCTTCTGTCGATTTATTTTCCCTGAGATCGCAGATTTTAGCTTCACACAATAATATCTGCTCCAGTTCCCATCTTCAGTCACATATTAATGCCGAATTGGCACGAAGCAGTCGGCGAGAAAAAGTAAATCTTTAGTTATCTGCTAAAATGTCTGAATATGGAAATATTATAATATTATGTATATTAATATTATATATATTTCTGCACCGAAAAAGAGAGAATTAGCCACAAAAAATATGGACTATGATATGAGTGAGCAATCATCTAAATCAAGAGATACCTTGAGATCTGCAAGTAATAGTAGAACGAGACACCATAGCGTTTCTGATAGATCATCATCAAGGTTTTTTTCCATAAATAAAATAATCAACATTTATTTATGTACTCAAGTTAAATTTTTCTAGTAGATCACAGATTGTTGAAAATCGTCTCCGATTACGTTCGAAATCCGCCAGTTCGTCGGGAGAGCGATTGGGTATCAGTCAATCAGTATTACGGTCTAAAACATTAAGCACAGCGGAAATAAATAATATCAATGAGCTTAAGATTACCAATCTCACCTCTGAATATTTCGCGATGAAACATCCTCGAGGTTCGAGATCGGCTACTTGTGCAAGAAAGAGTACGGTGAGAAACATATCAAGTCAAGTTAACAATCAGAAAACTGAATAGAAGATATGTAAAAGTCAGATACGTTCAAAATTTTTATTTAAAAAACCAAATTTTACTATTTCAGCCTCCATTATTGCGCCAGGTTAATGAAGCTATTGGAAAATCGAATGAGCTTCGATTAA